GGGGGGGTTGGTAGATGTACGTTCTCCGCGAGAGACACGTAGAGGTAGGCAGCGTAATCAATGTTCCATGTTGTTGGGAGAAAAAGTGCAGGCAGGGTCCCGCTTGGGGGAAGATGTGATCATGCTGGAAAGTGGAAGCCCTGGTCTGGACGAGAAGCCGCGGGATTGGAGTGCGATGTGAGGTTTCCCTTTGGTGTCTCTGTGTCTCCGTGTGGTGCTCACGGATGATGAGCGCAGATCCAGACGCTCTGGGTGGAATTCCCATCTCTGGAGGTACATTTACTGTGCAGGTAGGCAATCGTCCATGTCCAGAGCCCATTTGGTCAAGCCTCAAGCCGGCCCTGACCGCCGTCAGCATCCTTCCAAGACAAACACAAAGTCCATAGAGTCTTCATCAGCTGAAAAGGTAAGGCTTCTCTGTGGTTATTGCATGCGTCTCTTCACCTTGGCTAGGGGCGGAAATAAAGGATGAGGTGAACGTGTTAAAGATGCTGCTGAATACATATTTGTAAAAAAAGAAAGCGCGCCCCAAGTCACAAGGCTTCGAACGAGTGGAAAGCAACCTAGATGACCAGGTGATGAAGGATTGGCTCCCAACGCTTGCCATACCACAGGTGAAAGCCCGAAGAGGAAAGACTGAAGCAACGGAATGTATAGCGATATTCCCTGGAAGACGTCGGGTGCTAAAGCAACAGGAAGACAACTTTGCCCATTTTTGATCGACCGTTCTTGGATGGAAAGTGATGATGAATAATGGAATGTCGTTGGAAGGGGGATGGGCGGCTCTCTGCGGCAGGGGGGCTGCCCCGGATTTTATAGTGGGTCAAAACTGGAGACTTCAAGTCTTGGCGCTCGCGTTTCCCGGCCGCGCCCGGTGTCCGCAGCCTCCCGTCGCCAACCCCACTTTCAACCATCAAGGTGGCTGATCATTATCGAGAGAGCCTTTGATTCTGTCTGGGGACATCATCCATCAAGAATTACTTCAGTTGAGAGGGCTTCACGCCATCTCCCTGCCTTCATACAATTCACCGGGAACGATATACCTCAACGGAAACGCGCTTGTCATTCGCGGCATATCAATATCTCTATCGAAGGGCGCAAAGAGGAGCACGGACACTCACTCACCCGCGGAACTGACCGCCCGGAGGAAACACGAAACGAGCATCTCAGCCGAGGACCAGGAAAGCCGCAGCCCTTGACTCACTCACTGGACACTATCGACCCGATGGCCATCATCAACACTAGCTGACACCAGCTTCTTTTCTCGCCCTTTTTACCATAAAAGACGCATCCAGGGATTGACAAAACACCCGTCACGCGCCCCTCCAAACCCGGGCGCTTTCCGCGCTCAGGATGAACATGAGCTCACCACCCACACCCGGATCCAACCACGGGCATGGAACGGAAGGAACTGGCAGGCCCAGCTCCCGCCCAGAGAAACGCACCTGCATCACCTGCCGCGCTCGCAAAGTCAAATGCGATGGCCGGCCAGACAAGTGCACCAACTGCGAGCGGCTAGGCTTCACCTGCTCTTACGACCCCAACACCACCGTCACCACGAGCATCAACGCCGGCGTGGGAGCTAGTCACCCAGTCACCTCCCACGAACCCTTCTCCGTCGACAGGCTGGCCCCAACAGAGACGGAGGGAAACGCATCCACCAGTACCACCACGATAGCACCAGTGGTGGGATTAAGGAGGATCAGAGCCCGACAGGCTTGTCAGAGTTGTCATGTCAAGAAAGCCAAGTGCTCCGGAATCATCAACAAATCCGGGCCAGGAGGAAGTGGAAGCGGAGGGTATCGGGGTTGCGAACGATGTCGGGCTCTAGGAATTGCATGTGTCCTTAGGAAGGGCAAGCGAGGCCTAGCTCTACCAGGGATAAACAATTCCTCCCTCGGTGACGCCAGCGAAATGGTTCTAGACGACGGAGGCAACGGCATGCATCTCGACGACCCCCGAGATTTAGACGACGACATGAACCACAATGGCAACGGCAGCATAGGTGGCCGGAGCACCGCCAGTCCCGCTCCCATCCCCAGCAACAACCCAGGAGCATCCGGCCGCATCGACCTCCCCCAACCCGACGATCCGATAGTCAAGCGCGCGTTTGACAACTATTTCCGGCACGTCCACCACCTGCCTATGTTCACATTCCTTCACCGCGCTTCGCTGATGGAACGCTACGACGCCGGCCTGCTCGACCGCGCCCTGCTGCTCGCCATCGTCGGCATAGCCGCGTTACTAACCGACCTTGGCCCCTCCGTCTCCGTTGCCGACCCAGAATTATTTTCCAACCGATGCATCGACGAGGCTGCCTCCATTTGCACATCCGAACTAGAAAACAGAAGCATCACCCGCCTCGAGGCTTTGGTAATCGTCGTCAAGCATCGAATTCTCTCAAAACGCTTCTCAGCAGCCTTCATGCTACACGCACTTACTTCAAGATTCGCAAACGTGCTCCGCCTAAACGTCGAAAACCCAGCCCTCTGCTTTCTCGCCCAGGAATCCCGCCGCAGACTCATGTGGTCCATCTACATGATTGACGCTTGGTTCGCCAATGGGCAGACCGAACTCGCCCTCTGGCCGGATCCAGAACGACAAATCCGCGTTCAATTGCCATGCAACGAGCGTAACTTTGATTTCGATCTGCCGGAAGTCACCGAACCACTGCGCCTACCATTACCCGGTCCATCCGGACAACCAATCCAGCTCCCCGACGCTGTGGGATTCACGGCCTTGCATATCCGTATGCACTGGCTAAGGACGCGGATCCTCCAGCTTTCGCTGCGCGTCGTGGGGCCAAACCCTGACCCGAACGAGCTGATGCAACTCCCGCTCAGGTGCGCGGAGTTCAAAGCGGAGCTGGACTCGTTCGAAGCGAGGCTGCCGCCTTCGTTCCGGTGGAGTGAGTCGAATCTCCGGTTACGGTCCTACTCTACGAGGCTGGGCATCTTTTTCATGACACATGTCTGGTGGAGGCAGTGCCACTTGGACTTGTATCGACTCTTCTTACCAGGACTGAAGGAGGCATTGTCGGCAAGTAGTTTGGCGCAGCTGGCTGGGAGCGCTATTGGTAGCCCCGCGGCTCCAGGACAAGGACAATGGCAGGGACAGAGTGGCCAAAGACAAGGGCTGGTGGAATGGGCAAGACAAGAGTGTTATAGACACGCTCGCGCGATGGCGGATATGTTTGCTCAAGTACTGGCTTTGGGAGAGAGCAGTGTGCCGTTGGGGGATGTGGATCTGTCCGGGTGCGCCTTGCAGTGTGGACGGGTGTTGTATCATTCGTTTCAAACTCGCGAAAGGGGTCAGTCGCCGGCTCCGTCGGCGGAGGGAGTGAGGGAGATGGTCAGTGTTTGTTTGAGGGTCGCGAGGTTGGCGTGTCCGGGGCCGGCGAGCAGGGCTATTGTGAGTTTGCCCCTTTTTACCTTTCTTTTCTTTTCCTTTGCTTTTCCTTCCATTCCCACCACTTTCTCTACACCCAGCCAGGTACAGATGGGCGACGCTAACACCCACAAAGCAAACCGACATCGAAAAACTTTTAGCCGAAGGCCTCCCCATTAGCCAAGTACAAGTTCCCCAGACTCCTCGACGCAACGACCTCCTAACACCCACCACTCCCGCGCCCTTCTCTCCCGGCCCACCATTTGTCGCCATGGCCGGTCCCATCCCCTTGATCAACAACCCGCACGAACTCAGCCCCTCTCAAAGTCTGCTACAACCAGCAATGGCACCGCCCGTCCCACCGCATCCTCAACAAGCACAACAACCAACATCCCAAATGCTTCCACCCCTCTCGAGCTCCGCACCACCCCCACTGCAAGTAGGTCCAGGTGGTGTAAACCCAGGTATTGCACCTTCCCAAGCCTCCGCCATAACCACCGGCTCCAACGCCTTTGAAGAGATACTGAATGTGAACGGCATCAATTTCGGCGGGGTCGGTATGGGCATGACTGAGTTCTTTGCTCCCGACGCGTGGGGGTTGGGATTGTCGCCATTTCCGATGGGGTTGGGCGGTGGTGGTGACTGGACGGTGCAAGGGCAGGAACAGGAACAAGGGCAGGGCAATGGAAATCAGAATGGGAATGGGAATGGACAGCAGTTTCATGGGGATCATGGTTGATGGGACGTTCTGAGAGATGGTACCCTATGTGGGGGGAAAAAAGGAGAGGAGGATAAGAGAAGGACGGAATAGGTGTGAGGACATCTTCGGCGTGGAAGGTGGAAGCATTACGTCGTTAGGTCAGGGAGAAGGTGGGATTAATTGCTGGGAGGTGGCACGTTGATGCAACAGGTGATCCATTTGTTGCAGTTGTTGTAAAGATAAGTCATGAGTAGAAACATACCCCCAGCGGGAAGTTAATGAGATACCCCTTTCATCATCAGGAAAACCATTTGCCTTATCCATGGGTACAGACAAAACCACTACGGGTTGGACGGGTGCTGGACCCTGCGGAATCTCTGGTGGACTTCACTCAACTTCACCACACTTTCATCTACCTAGGTATGCATTATCTTCTGCCTTCCGGGCGAGCGTGTCTTGATACGCTACTGTAGTTGATTATCACTACATAGATCTCCTTACCTTGGTACAAGAAAGCCGTGAACGTGTTTTTATCTTTCTGTTCTTTGGCTTCCAGTCGTGAACCCACCCCCTTCCACTTGGTAACCAATACCGCCGGACTGGACACCGCAAACCAGGCACACAGGAAGCAAACACCCGACGCGTAAGGTACACGGTAATCTACCCGCCCTTACTCTCCCAGCCAACCGCTGCGTACCTTCCATGTCCACGTCCCTGCCCCGCGTTCCCTCTAACTGCTCTAACTGTTACCGGCCCTTCATATAGCAGTCCCCCCCGAGTCCCATTCAACAAGGAAGAAAAAAAAAAGTGCAGTTAGTATAGTGGTAGTACGCTCGCCCCTCTGACACGACTGCTGGGGGTCCCCACGGAAGTCGTCCGAGTTGAGTATCCCGGGTTCGACCCCCGGACTGCACAGTTTCCTTTTCTTTTTCCTTCTCTACCTTTTTTTTTGTCTCTGTCTTTTTGCTTTCAGGTTTTGGTTACGGTAGAGGTAGGTACCTAGGTGCATCGCGTTCCTCTTCGTCTCACCCACCCCTCGCATTACCTCACACTTGAGGTCCACGGCTGTATAGGTAGACTGAAACATTCACAGCTGAGGTGAGGAGATGTATAAACGATGTCTGTTCTGCAGAGCTCGGAAAACAACAAAGCAGAAAAAGAAAAGCGTGGGTAGGTCTACCACTTCACCAGTGCACTTTTGCTGGACGAGCGGTGCATCAAGATTTATGTCTCTGGGGGAATGGGGTAGGAAGACACATAGGTACCTACCTACTCTGCTGTGACTTGCAAGTGAAAGCAGGAAAGTACCAGGTGGGGAGACACATGAACAGTAAAGTTTCTTGATAATAGTGGATATATAGTCCTTGGGATCAGATTTGAATGCGTGAAAGTGTTGTACTGCTTTGTCATAGGGAGTATCTTGTGTTCAGATCGAGGGTAGAAGATGAAAAGGCAATGTTGAAAAGAAGTCTAGGACTCCTGAGCAAGAGGTTTTTCATTCTTGATCTCTATTACTTACTTACCTAGTAATGAGCGTATACGCGGTGAACCTTGGAGGAGTGTTGGTCGTAGTCCTGTGATATTCACCGCGGTTTTATCGCCTTGGTTAACGCTTCAAGTCACAGTTCTGGACTTGGGAGGAACACCGATGTTTGTCGCGAGCTTGTTCTGAGTAGATTGAGCCAGGCTTGCCAGTTCTCCGCATAGGTGCCCAGACAAACAGGTTGAGAGCATGGTCAATTAGGGAACAATTCGGTGTATGTATCATTTGCGGCTGTTCGTGCTAAGCTTGTGGGTGGGAAATTATAGCATATTCCTCTACATTACCCTCTTTTCTTTTCCGTCAGTTGGTAGATCAAAGTCCCGTCCACCACAACTGGACCTTGGGATCCAGGGAAACCGCTACAGCTCCAAGAACACCAGTGTCCCCATAGGATAACTCTAAGTACTTGCCCAAACACCCGGGTAGACACCCGCGGTAGGAGCAAAGCTCACATTAGACCCTGTTGGTACTGCGTACTCCCACCAACACTCTTGTTCGGAATCTCAGGAGCCCAATGGTGTTAGTACAAGTATTTCTGTGAAGCAGTGAATTGGAGCGAACACTGCCAGCGCCGAACTCCCTACTTGGCTGCCTCAAGGGAAAGACTCGACCCATCTCCGGGTTCAAAGGAGCGGAGACGTCGATTTCCAGGCCCAAGTCAACCTCCCCTCCCTCTCCAATCTGCTGTTTCTTCTCTTCGTATGAACACCAGCCTTGACCATCCAGACTATCTCGGTCAGCTTCTAGTCCTCTCCAGGCCGTGGCTGTTTCGCTTCGCAGTTATTTCCAGGCTCAGAGTCAGTCTTGCCATCCCTTTTTGACACCCTTTCCGGGCTGTGGTTCGAGCTTGGCATCCTTTCCACCAACCTTGAAGGCTGGAGGGCAGGCTTCGAGGTCTTTCGTGGTTTGGATTTTGGGCCCGGGGTATCGCAAGCAGAGATTGTGAGGTGCCCAGGGCTTCATGGATGCAGGCTGGAACTTCGCGTCCTTTATAGGCTTCGAATCACGCTCGATGACGGGCTTCGGCTTGAGCTTGGGCTTTGGCTCTCTACGGTTACGTCGGTTGTGGAATCACTGCCTTCTAAATTGCTCACTGGAGGCAACTGTTTCTCCAAGGTCAACAGGTCTGCTACCAAAATGGGGAATCAGGGAATAGTCAACTGGGTTGGTGGTTCGCGAGGAACAAGGGGAATCGGTTTGGTATTTGATCTTTGTGCGGTTCCGATGGGCGTTAACCTGCCGTGAACGCCCCAGCCATCCCATTCATCCAACAATGTTCCTCCTCAAAGTGTCCTGCTCTGTCCATCTCGTCGCTGCTGATGGCGCTGTTGATGGGGTCGGGTGGCTGCTGGGCACCTTGATGGCCTCCGTCTCCAATGCTACTACAAGCAAGGCAGGTGCCACCACCAGAAAGGACACGCCAAGCGCCCTGCAATTTGCACTTCGACAAGTCAAGCGATTGGGGGAAATTGCAAAGGACGCCGAAGATGAATGAGTGATGTTGAAGGTGTCAATCAGGGTTAGGGTCAGTATCGGGTTCGGTTTTGCTGAAGCCTCCCGTCTGAGCCCTGGGCTGATGGAAAGTGGAATGGGGGAGTCATCCACAAAAGATATCTCCGCTGCAGGATTGCGGAATGCGGGGTCTGGATCACGGTGGTCGCATTGGAGACGGGTGGTGGATGCTTCCTGTGCTGTGTGACTTTCAAGTTTGGACAGCGCCTTCCCATCGGCAATTGACATTCTCATCTGTTGTTGTGATTGACCGCCTTAACATCGGATCGTTCGTTCGACGGCATCCAAGGAGACAGGAACGAACTGAGTAACCAACAATGGTCGTCGTCGTTGGACGTCTTCATCATGGTGCAGCCGTTGGTTGTCAAGTTGTCGTGCAACGATCTGATGTCATCATCGTCTCCGACTTGTATGTACACTAGACGCCGCTCGCCGGAGAACGTCGCATCGCACGGTTGCCGCCTGTAGCGACCGTAGCGCACGGCCCACTCCGAGCATCCGATGTTTGGACTTTGGACGGCTGATGATTCTGCAAACATGAAACGAACACCTTCAGTTTTTAAGGACAAGAGGAAAAAACCAAGAGTTCATCTGATCTCTTGCATCTTGCACTCCACCAGTTCTTCCAGGTTGTGCCAGGTTTTGGGTTCCTTGTCCAGATTTTGTTGCCCGGGAAATGCCAAAGTCAAAATGGGCTTCATTGTGGTACGATTCCACTAGACTCCAGCTGGAGCTCCATAGAGATTTCCCGCTCCGAGATCCAGTGAGATCTCTGTGACACATTTTCGGGTCGTCTGCCTGCTCTTTTCTTTTCTCTTGCTTGGCCTTGGCTGGACCGACCGACCCCGCTCGGCCATAGAACGACGACCGACAACCAACGGTCCAGCTTTCCATCATCCTCATCAATCACCTCAGCTTACCACTTCGGCCCGGGAAACCATCACATATTCACATTATCTGCTGCGGGCAATTCCCAGACCGGGGCAGCACGGGATCCGAATCACGGGATCGTCACTCTTGGCGGTCCCCGAGCACAATGCCACAATCTGTCCGTGACCTCTGTTACGCAGGTAATTCCCCGATCTGGTGCTTGAATGTGTCTCACCTTATCCAACGGGATCCATGCACCGCTCTTGTGTAACGGACTGGAGCTTCATACGGGGCGAACGGAGTTACTCGAGGCTGACTTTGGTTGTTAGTTTCCTGCAACTGACTGACGATTTGACTGGACTGGTGAGCTTTGCATCGCAATCGTCAGTCAAAGGCCACTCACCGGGCCACCGACATCGTTGAGATTGATAGTCCCGCATCATCCAATCGTCCACATCGTCCACCGCCAAGCAACCAGCGCCGTCGCCATCGCCATCGCCATCGCTGGCGCACATCGCACTTCTCTCGACTGGCTCGAGAGCTAGCAATGAGGCTTATCACGACTAAAGAAAAATAACTAACCCCATCAAGGTAGTCCGGGTGCGTAGCTCGGCGGGGTCATTCTTCATCAAGCAACAAGCTTTCCCTGTCCAAGAAAGCGGTCCACCAATCCACCCGTTGGCAATCCCCCTTCCCACGTCCAGACGGTGTGAGAAAAAAAAGTGAATGATGGATGATGCACGTGGATAACACCGGCGCCGCGCCGGAGCAATTGCACCAACCAGAACGTTGCCCGCTAGGTGATGCTGGCCCTTGCTCGACCTCGTCGTCGTCGTCGCCGACTTGCCCGTACAGAGCTCCGTCGTCGCTCGACGGTTTAGCGTTGACGCGAGGTGAGTTCATAGCTTCATGACCCGTGATCACGCGGCTCATTGAAAGCAACCAGAAATGGTCCAATCTTTGTTGTTGATGCAATGACATGCAAGATGCAATGCAGTGCGTTGGTCTGCTTCTTTGGCTTGGCATGTGTTTAGAATTGAACCCTTTGCACACACTTTTGACTCCTTCGGGTGGATCTCCCGTGTTAGTTACCAAGTGGTTGTGTGCGAAGGGTCTCGGAGCCGATGTATCTTGTCTTGGATGTTGTTGATAAGCCGCCCCACGATCAATGTGTGTTTCGCACGATCACGATCATGGTGTTCGCATTGACGGCCAAGTCGACAGATGGAGGAGGACCCCTCTTTTTTTATTTCGATTTTTTTTTTTTTCTTCAGTGTCCCAGTCCACATCACATCGAACGCAACTTCCTTGTTTTCTGACTGGTTCATTTATGTGTGTTTGTCTTTGACAACAAGGGTCTTCCATCCTCGCTCCCGGCGGCCCTTCACTCCTCGGCCAGCGTGTCGGCTCCGGTGGTGAACCTTGGTGGTCTCCTTCACCTCTACCACCACCACCACCACCACCACCCGGAGACCCTTTCGGTGTCTGACTTTGTAACCTTATCTTTCAAGGAGGTCCCTCTCTTTTACCGTAGGGGGGGCCGATCCCTGTCCCGCCGTCCACATCCCAGCTGTTAAGGGTCTCCGCTTTCATAAAGATGTTAGTGCGAAATAGGAAAGACTTCACAGAGCCCCAGCACCTCAGCTGAAGAGAGACTGATAAGAACGACAATTACCACGAGCACCAAGACAAAAAAATATTCCGAGAATGGAGGGGCATGTGTTTACATGGAAGCAGAATTAGGCAATGCCGATGATGATGATGATTATGCCTGTCATCAGAATCTCAAGGGTCCATCCGACAGCGACTGGACCCCCCAGCCGACTGACAAACTCGCGGGTCGCAGCTCGGTGTAGCGCGCTCGCATCTCGCAGGACGACAAGGAAGCGTATAAAGTCCAGACTTCATGGTCAAGGATGACTGAATGGTAGCTCCGAAACTATCAAGGGGACCCCATTCGCGCAGTTTCAAGCTGGCATGGTGTACACTACAGAGGTAGGTTTTTCCCACTTTCCCCGCATTTGTATTAGTGGTGTTTTTGAAGGGTGAACCATCATGGGTTGTCCGAACCATCTTTGAACCCTTTTGAGTAGCGTAGGAGGTTGACACAAGGGTCAAGGGTAAATGCCGAGGAGGGGAGGTCCGGACAAAGGTGAGTGTAGTGCAGTGTGCAGAGCTATCTTCATGATGAAAGACAATGCTATAGCCCCCATGTCCATCCATGTCTTGACTTTTTATAGGATAAAGGGTTGACAGCTTACCAGCCACATCATGGAACATCCTTCTTTTTTTTTATGCTTTCGTTTGGTGTCTCGGAACTTTTGTTTTGTTTACACTACTCCATTCATCGTTTGATGTCTTGTCTTTCTCGCGCGGCTGGTGGATGAACACACTACACTAGCAGCTCCGTTCAGGCGGGATCCATTTATTATCGTGTAAGTCGTTTTGATGCGCTCCATTGATCGGTTGATACTCGGTTGATACAAAATGGATCCTCGCTGTTTCGGGGTTGTTTTGATAGTGCCAGCTGAAGTTGCTCCATCCATATGTTAAAGCCGTCGGTCGGTCCAAAATACCAAGCCACCATCAGGGTACCAGGATGTTTTCTTCAAACCTCTCAAAACCTCCGTTCGTCATGGGCTTTCATGGGGGGGCGTCTCACAAGTCTCCACGTGCTCTCATCGGTTGATGGGAATTGGATTGATCTTCCATTCTCCATCCACCAAAAATCATCTGAGGCTGTTCACCATCTTCAATCTCTGCTGATCATTGCAAACGGTCTCCAATACGTGTGCCACTCGTCTGGTTGGTGGCTAGAGGGATTTGCAACAATGCCTCCATGTCGCGCGCGCCCTTGTCAGCAAGCGGTGTCAACATTTCATGTAGTTTGCTACTATCACAAGCAAGAAAACTCCCCTGTCCGTGCCGTTGTTCGACCCCCTCCCCTTCCAGTCCCCCAGCACTGACTTACACGCAACAACCCCGGTCGAGGTTCCTTGTCGTCTGAGAATCCCGGAAAGGCGGCATTCTACCATTTTTTAGCGCTGCAACATTGGAAGAGGGAAAGCGGCTCGAAAGCGGAAAGTTAACCCTGCAATTGGACCCTAACCCTTGTCGGCGGGCATAATTAATTATTCTGCGGCGATATCAACGAACGAACGCTTGCCGTCGTTGGGGTCAGCAGCGTGCACGCACTTGTGTGCTCTCAAGATCATGATCGCAATTGCATGGCGGCGATGTCGATGAGAGATTGCCATTGTCCAACCGTAGACGCCCCAGTGCCAGATGTTTCGCTTTCCATAAGAAAAGAGAAAAATCGACGCCTCAGATTCTTTGGTTGATCTGGATGCCCAGTCTGACCATTCGGCATATGTTGTTTTGCTTCGCCTGGACCAGAGACAATGTCACGAGTTGCGACGGAAGTTCTGCAACGAGGCAGTATTACGAGGCCACATTTTCGAGCCACACACACACACACACACACACACACACACACACACACACACACACACACACACAATCTGACCAAGGAGGCGCCATTGCCGCCCTCCCACCCACACCATCTAATTTGCCTCTATGGTATGCTTGTTGCACACAGGAGGGCTGCCATCGGTGTGTCTTGACCCCTGAGATCAATGCCCAATGCCGCCCTCCTCTAGTGTACACACCATCACCCGCCCTCTAGACGCCGAACTTCAATTCGCATGGCTTCGCGTCTTCCGTGCCTCGTACATCGGATATTGCCTTCCATGCCGGGAGGGCGGGCGAGAGCAATGAGAGGTCAATTGCGAGTCAATGAGCTGTCCGGGATACCCGTACCAAGACCTGTTGCAAAACCGCAAAAAATCTTTCTACAATCGGTGGTTGGTGGTGATTGTTTTGTGATCTTCCGGGGTCCTGACAGGCCTGGGGATGGATGGAAAACGACATGGAGGGGGGGCATTGAGAGGGGGGAAATGGAAGGTGGAAGGCGATTATGCTTGCGAATGCTTGGCGTATCTGTGTATGCATAAGATACTACCTCTACATATGCGGTTGAGTGGTACAGTACCAGTCGTGCAGACGCGCGTTACATTGTCGATAATGTGGTGAGAATGGAAATGGAATCTCGCCCGCGGCCGATGAGTCGTCGCCGTTTGGTGAGATAGGTAAGGTACTGTAGTGTGTAGATATGTACTGTAGTCTGGAGACACTCACTGGACGCGTACCCGTGGGGGATGAGGTTGGCCTTTGCCCGAGATATACAACCAATACCCACCTTTCTTGCGTGGTGGTCGTCGTTGATAATACTAGAACTACTAGTGTGTTCTTGTCGTCGTATCCAAATTGAATCCGACTCGTTCTTGTTCGCGCGTCCGTGGATTGCCCCTCCTTCCTAATTTCGCCCATTTTCACCCCATTTTCATGCAAACACTGTAACTCACGGAGGGGTCGATGGGTGATTTTTTGGCAGCCAGGAAAACCCCGTCGGTATCAAATCTCCGATCATCAATGCTCCCCAGAACGGCACAAATGCGACTCATCGCACATTTCCTGGCGGTGGTTGGTGTCTACGTGGCAGAGACACCCCCCCGGCACCTGGGACCCTTGTCATATGAGGCTTGCCTCGCTGCCGGTTCGGTTCCTTGTCTGACGGACTTCCTGACTCTGACTGGAGACTGACTGAGGGCCCCCATTTTCCGACCAGCAGCCTTTACAACTAACAGACACCCTCTATCCCTGTGGCTGTTCAGTTAGTGGAAAGCGATGGAGGTAAACAAAAACCCCGGTTAGAGGTAGGTTAGTTGCAAGTGTTTATTCTTGCAAGGGCTTTCCGATGACAGCACTCACAGGAGCGAACAACCGGACGAGATGGGACATCGCGGTGGAGTTGGACTGTTTACCTCTTGCCTTTTTTTGCCTCTGAAACCTGTCGACATTGACAATTGGGGTTCTTTCTAAGAAGTAGCGTTGGTACATACTGTAGCGCCTGCCACACGCGTGGGGTCCTTTCTTTTCTCACAAAACGGAAACTCGAGCTCACGCGGTGCCGCCAGCGACTGACAGTTGCAGCTCGCTTGAGCAGACCGTACATGAGGCCCTTGCACCCAGCATCCAGTCAACATCGTCGGCGAGGGTCTCACTCTCTGACTGCTGGGAACGATTGGTAAGAAGTCAAGAACCCATGGCGGGGCTGGTTCCCGATTCGAAAGAGAGCCTCTCTCCCATTGGCTGTCTGGGGCATGTCTTGGCTCCACCCCTAGCTTTGGTGTGCTTGCGTTAGGCTGCTCCACTTATGAGAGTCGGTGGTGCATCCGTCGACGAGGGAACGAGTCCTTTTCGACGACGCGAGAGGCAGCGACCTAGCGACTGGACTGAACTGGACTGGACTGGTGGTGCTCCTCCTCCTTCCACTCACTCCCGTCTTTCCTCCATGAGTCCATAGTAGGTCCAGTCTCCTCCTCCCACTTTTCTCGTCATTCCAGTCTCCCGAAGCTCCGGACCACGGGTCGTCGACAAGAGGCCAGTCATTGCCTAGGCCGACTACCTAGTCCATAGCGTCTGCTCATCTCTTCACTCTCTTTGGCTGTCGTCTTTATATCCTTCGTTTCATTGTGGCGATCTTGGTCCAGATAGGTACATACACTACTCCTGTGCGTGGCGGGTGTGAACATGGGATCATGATGCTCGCAAGCGGTTCGACCTTCGGATGTAATGCATGGCAGCGACAAGGAGCGATGAAAGATGAGAGATCACATATACATACCGCATACAGGGCGGCCTGTGAGAGGGCCGACGAGGACCATACAAGACAGAGTGATGGCCGCACGCTTAGACAATGTGGCTCCCCTACATGTCGCTCCCATGCTGGCCGCCGCTGTCGTGGGCCAACCCAGAGTCGGGGATAGAGACTACCAGAGGCTACTTGGGCACGCTATCGACTATACGGATCTGTTCGGCACTGAATGTGGGCGTAGTGGGCGTCCTTCGCAGTAAGCGGACGCGTTAGTGGGCGGGATTGACGCCTAACCCGCAAAAGGGCGATCCCAAATGATAAGGAACTTTGCCATGATAAAAGCTGCTTCTCCATCCTCTTCTCGGGCAAACTCCTTTTTTTATTTTTATTTTGATATCAGCAAGATTCACATCGCGACCACGAGATACAACCCCCCACCCGCTTTGTACACACTAGAGATCACCATCTCCCCATCCGGTCCCCATCCATCAAACCATACCAAGGAGGGGGCCCATCGACTAGCTAGGAAGTGACCTCGAGATACCAGGAAAACAAACCGGTTCTACGTCACCGCCGAAGCCGCAGCAGCCGCATTATTATCTTTTTTTTTCCCTTGAGTTTATTTGTTTTTATCTTATTTTCCCGAGAAATAGTATCCCGCCATCCAGTTCGGTCCATTCCGAGAGTGTCACTCATCTCCCCGCTAGTTCCAAAGCATCATACGCAGTACATACCTCCCGGTCTACATACCCCCTCTGACGACCTCTGTCTCGCCAAATTAATCGGCATGGCTCGCAAAAAGAAGTCCGGCTCCACCAAGACCCCCGGTCTCCCTGGCCAACCCCAGACGCAGGGTCACCTCTCGACGGTCCCCAAAAAGGTCCCCATCGACCACCGTCCCGAGACTTCGTGAGTAGAGCCTCATCCATCTCTCTTCACTTTTTTTTTTTATATCATCCACCTCCCTCCCTCACTGGACATTGCACACTATCATCCTAGTGTAGCAATCCACATCACACACATCCTTCACAATGCTAACAACAACACACAGTCCATATGCCAGCCCGGCATGCAACCTCCCCTTCGCCAGCCCTATGGTGGTTGCCCTTGATGTCCTCAAGAACAAGGCCCCCAAGCTCTATGCCGCCTACGACAGCCAGAGCCCAGAACTCCCAACCGTTTCCGAGGAGATTGGCCATGTCATCGTCCACTATCTCTACACCAACAAGTACGAGTCTCTCAAGCCTGTGGGTGCCGATAAGCTGGCCAAGCAAATAGTCGAGCTCAAGACGGCCATCAAGGTCTACGTCTTGGCCCGTGCCTACGAGCTCCCCGACCTTGTTCGTCTTGCCGAGCGTAACATTGAGAAGTTTGGCGATGGCATGGCCCTTCCCACCCTCCTTGAGGTCGCCAGTGACGCGTACCCGAGCCTTGTCGACACCGACCAGTGGTTCATCGGCTACCTCAAGAAGCGTATCAGACTCCACCTCAACGATGCCAGCTCCCTCCTCGGCACCGATCTCTTGAACCGCCTCAGCCACATCCTTTCCCCCAACAAGATCCTGCTCAGGATCGTTCTCGAGGTCTGCTGCGAGCAGATGACCAACCCCAAGCAGGGCCTTGCCAGCCCCATCACCACCGCCGAGTCCTCCCGAGCCACCTCCAGGACAAGGGATGTCTCTCAAGACGAAAGCAAGCAGTCTCCTCTCGCCGAGGAGGCCACACCTGAGGTCAAGGCTCTTGAGGTCGAGGCCGAGCCTGAGCAGGCTCAAGTTGAGGTCAACAGGGCTCCATCTGAGCTCGAGGCCGAAACGGTCCCCGAGTCCGAGGTTCGTGAACTGTTTGATGATGACACTTCTGAGTCGGACCTTGAGGCTAAGACTGAGACACAGGTCGTCGCTGCCGTTGTGCCCAAGAGCGAGACCAAGGCCGAGCTTCACGGTCGTGACCGCAAGGATTCCGGCAAGGAGCTCAGTGACGAGCTTCCCATCACTCTCAGCACTGAGCCCGTCATCAAGGAGCTCGACGCTGCTTCTCATGACCTCCCTTTCCGCCCTCGCGTCAACCGGGAAGCCGACTCTGGCTTCTGGGAGCCTACTACTCCTGGCGAGGCTGAGGCCAGCAAGCGGCACAGCTTCTTGGAGCTGCAGTCTGCTCCTGGCGTTTCCGAGCTTTCGGCCGAGTCCGAGGAGGATGCCAAGCAGGACAAGGGCAAGGCCGTCGACGCCGAGACCGAGGCCGCCAACCAGTACCTCCACCTTTCCGCCATTCCCGAGAGCGGCGAGACGGTTGTCGAGTCCACCACTGAGGATGCCCTCAAGATCTCTCAGGAGGCTGCCGTTGAGGAGGATGCCGAACCCCAGACTACAGAGAAGGTAGAACCGAATCCTGATTGTCCAGAACAAGAAGCACGACTAACACGCTACCAACAGGCTGAGACCACACCTGCTGACAATGAAGTCGACTCCTCCGATGTACCTGAGCAACAGCTCAGCGATGCCGCCGCCGAGAGGCAGGACGAGGCGCAGCATGAGCATGAGTCATCACCAATCGCCCTACGTGATGCCGCAAAGTCCGTTGTCTCCTTCGCGGTCAGCGACGACCAAAAGGCGGAATTCGGTGTCCTCCAAGAACCCCGGACCGTTGGTGCCGATGCGGAGACCAAGTCCACCGCCGGCGACCGCACCGGCGCCGAGCCCGCCGAGTCCGCTCTTGTATCAGCTCCAAAGGTTTCGTCGAAGATAGACGTCTCGGACAAGACCGAGGAGCTGAACGGCGCCGTCCACCCTGGCATGAACCCCAGGTCCAAGAGCTGGAAGAGGAGACTCAGCATGCGCGTGCCCGTCCTCTTTGGTCGCGGCATGTGACTTTCTTCGTGCATTGATCATGACGATGTTGCGGATGATGATGATGATGATGATTGCAACGAATTGAGGGTGTTGCCGCCTAGGAGGAGATGAATGAAGGCTGATGGACATGACGATGAACATCACATCTCCCTCCCCCCTTGGCGGCGAAGGATGCTGTACTATTTTCCACCTTTCTTTCTCTGTCTACAGTTCTTTCCTATGAGCGATGATCGCAGCGTGGTTGGGCTGCCGTTTGGTTTTTTGATCTCATCTTGTTGTTGTTGGGGCATGGCATATGCATCTCTGCTTGCTTGTTTGTTGTTGCGGTTGCGGTTGCTTTTTCAGTTTTTTGGATTTCGTATATCCATGGGCATCGGGCGTTTTAAGGATCATCTTTTTCCTATTTGGTCGGTCGTTTGGAATTAGATATCCACAATCTTTTTGCGCGCAGTTTGAAGGTTCCTTTCGATGAAGGTGAATATGAAGAGAAAGATGAAGATACCTGAGTGATTTACATGCACAAGTCTGTTTGGCAAGGAGTTTTTTTGCGTTTGCTTCCATTTCCCATTTCCCATTTTCTGCATTTTCAGTTTCATTTCCATGAAGGCGGCATCGACCTAGATTGGCACTTTGACTGCTTCAGAGCAGATCACGTTACGAGCGCTGGAAGGACAAAAAACCTTTACATTACCCTACAGATACCACATAGCGAAAATACCTCAATGATACCTAATACCTATCCAAAATCTCGGAACGAGTAGGCACTTTAGTTGGTTTGTTTCCATCCATTGTGTTGTTGGTGATGTTGCTTTTGAAACGGTGTTTTAACATGCTAGAGGTAAGTACTACCAGCAGTCTTGAGAGATCTCGATGAACCAAGACAACACACAAGACAGTCTAGTAGCAGATATCTCCTGTTGTCAGCAGATCACCAAGGTTGTTGGCCATTGAGGTTCACAAACAGCGGAGATCGAAGTGTCATTTGGATGGACCTCATAGACCCCGCTGTTAGGGGTGTGGTTATAGGGCTGGCTGGTGGGCAACAAGTGGGGTGTTCCATTCGACCCGCAGTGGGAGGACGGCACGCAGACCCCGCCCCCCATTCGCCCCCGGCAGCCGTCTCCGAGGGCCTCAGCTACCTACCTGTACCTTGGTAGGCGTCAACGCCCGCCAAAACGCCCAATGCTACCCCGCTATGTATGACAGCCTTCTCCAAAAATTACATGCTCCCGTCCTGCTTCCATCCGATTCCTGCTCCCGCTCCCGGAAGACATCCAACCTTGGCAACCTTGACGGCATTGTTTGTTAGACCAGACTTGTAATATGGAGTTTGAACCCAAGATCCGTAAGTCTGAATACCTATACATTGCAATTGTAGGAAGGAAGGAGTAAAGCTGACATTGCTCCTAGGTACGGCCTCTACGGGCGACAAGACGTCATTTGCCTACGAGACCGCCAGGAAGCGGTGGCCCATCATCATCGTGAGCCTCGTCCGATCTTCTTGCCTCGACACACCACCGACCAATAACCGCTAACCACCACTTATATACGCCATAGACCCAAGCCATTGACGATGTCTACCGTACCACCGGCCAAACCGACGACGCTGAGAAGCGCGAGGAGGGCAAGAAGATTATCAACGACCTTGCCACGCTCAAATACGAAGTCCAGCACGACCGCGCCCTGACGTTCGTCCGCCCAGTCGCCCCCAAAGCAAATGCTAGTACATATACACAGAAGAGAAGATGTGCTAAGACAGCAACAGGCCCATTCCCGACGATGGCGTCTCCGACGTGGCCACCTACAACCAGATCCTCGAGTCCCTCGACAAGCCCACCTGGCTGAACGTCTCCTGGCTATTCAGCGAGTGCTACCTCTACCGGTTCGTCTCTCTTTCCATCCCTACCCCTTTTCCTGCCTGGCCCATACAATATGTCACATCCATAAGGTGTCTAACCACCCTTCCCAACAAACAGCCGCATCAGCACCTCCTTCGCCCTCTCCACTCACTGGAAGAACTACGACATCTTCGCCCGCCAAAAGATCAAGACCTTCCGCTCCTCCCGCCCCGCTGTCCTCGAGCTTGCCGCCCGCTACAAGGACCTCATCACCCAACTCCGCTCCCACACCGGCGAGACATCGGAAGAAGCCGACAAGTTGCTCTTCACCGAGATGTGCGAGATCTGCCTCTGGGGCAACGCCACCGATCTCTCGCTCCTGACCTCCCTCTCATACGAAGACATCCAGAAGTTGCAAGGGTCCGAGGCGCGCAAGAAGAGCGAGGCCAACATCCTTGTGAATGATCTGGAGGAGGTGTACAAGCAGTTGGTGGAGGCGAAGAAGGCCGGCAAGACGGAGAGGGTGGTGGATATCGTTCTCGACAATGCCGGGTTTGAGTTGTATGTGGACTTGATTCTTGCTGGATACCTCTTGACGGCGGGGCTGGCGACCAGGGTGACGCTGCATGCCAAGTCGATTCCTTGGTTCGTCTCGGACGTCTTGCCGGGGGATTTTGGCGCGCTATTGAACGCTCTGGCGGCACCCGTGCCTTTCTTCGAGACGGCTACCGAGGAGGAGGAGTTGCAGGGCAAGACTCCCGAGAAGCTTTCCGACAAGGAGAAGGAGGAACTGTCGTTCTTGTTCCAGGAGTGGTCCATCCTCCACGCCGAAGGAAAACTCGGCCTCCGTGCTAACCGCTTCTGGACGGGCCCTGGCTCCTTCTGGCGCCTCGTTGATCCCAACGCCGACGAACAGACCAAGGAGCTGGCCGAGGACTTGCGCAGGAGCGAGCTGGTTGTGTTCAAGGGCGATTTGAACTACCGCAAGTTGGTCGGTGATGCCGAGTGCGATCCTACCACGCCGTTTACGGAAGCTATTGGACCACTTGGGCCGGGGTCGGGGATCAATGTCCTGGCATTGAGGACGTGCAAGGCGGATGTTGTCGTGGGATTGCCCAAGGGAATGGATGAGGAGTTGAGGGCACGGGAGGGCGGAGGCGGGGATTCGGGAGCGAGAAAGTGGGCGTGGAATGGCAAGTATGCCGTTGTGTCGTTTTCCAAGGGGGCGTAGAAAGGCAAGAGGGCCAAGTCCTCCGAGCTTTAGTTGTTCCTTTTTTGGTTTATTTTCTTTTCTTTTTGTTCGTCCTTTCCTTAATCGTCTGGGTGACTGCTTACACTACTATAGATCTGCATAAAAGAGTGTTAATAGATGGTTCTTGGATCTAGATGCTTTTTCTTGCTTCTCCTTCATTCATTTCAGGTTGTCTGCCTTCCTGTTTGGCCAGCTACATCCCCTTGATTCACACCAAACGGGTCCCTGAGACAGAAAAGCTTCTGTCCTGGGCTGAGGACCTACTTGGACGCGGCAGACACATCACATACGGGTTACATGCCTTCTTCGAGCGCGCATTTGGAGATTAGGGTGCGTACTTACTACATTTTGTCCGCGACGTTTTGGCTAATGTAGGGAGCCAGGGATAAGTCGCGAGTCTCCCGTTGGCCTCCTGTCCATATATGACGCTTAACGACGAGTACCTCCTCCTCCTCCTCCTCCTCCTCCGCTTTCAGACCCAGACTGAGACTGCTGGAGTTGGCGTTGCTGGCGGAGCTGGCGAAGGTGGTGAAGCCCGGGCGTTTGGGCTGGCACAGCAGGCGGGCCAGAGGCCGGAGCAGACATCGGAGCAAAGGGAGCACGCGGAACTAGCGTGCCAGGGAGCTGCCCATAGAGCTGTCCAGACGGCGGGGCAGACGGCGAGACAGACGGCGGGAGAGAAGGAGCAGGCGGAACAGCAGCAGCAGGAGGAGGAGGAGGAGGAGGGTAATATCCAGTCGGCTGCCCATATACCTGCCCAGGCGGCGGGATAGACGGAACCGACATAGCAGCAGCAGTAGCAGGGGGGTAATATCCATTCGGCTGCCCAAGTGGAAGACCCTGCCCCTGGAAATACGGCGGAGGCAGAGGGAGGCCTTGGCGATAGTTGGCAAGATGCCAGGGCGTGCTCGCCGGCAGACCAGGCAGCCCAAACGACGGGGCAGACGGCAGGACAGACGAGGGCGGCCCAAATGGCAGGGAAGCAGCAGACGGAAGCAGCGGCGGCAGCGGCGGCGGCGCAGAGGCCAGTTGGCGAAGCCAAACAGGCAACTCAAGAGCAGGCCGCACACGCGCAAAGAAGCCCACGAAGTCAGCGGGCAGATAGCCCACAGGCAGAAGACTCACCAGACGACGGAGAAGACGACGAAGCAGATGATGGCGGAGCAGACGGAGCAGAGCCCAGAGCAGGAGGAGGAGATCCTGTGCCTGGAGTTTGCTGCCGCTGCTGCTGCTGCCGAGACCGAGACTGGCACCGAGGCCGAAGTTGGAGTGGGAGAGGTTGGAGAGGGAGCCGGAGAGGTTGGCGAGGGCGCGAAAGATGGTGCCGAAGAGAGAGAGGAAGCTGGCGAGGGTGGTGCGGGCGCTGTGGTAGCCTTGGTGCATGGAGATGGAGAGGGTCGCGAGGCGAGAGATGAAGCGGACCCAGTGGTTGAGGTGGTGGGAGATGGGGTCCATGGTTGTGATGGTGGTGGTGTTGTTGCCGTTGTTGTTGTTGTTGTTGGTGTTGTTGTTGGTGTTTTGTTGTGGTGGTGATGTGATGTTGCTGTTGTTGTTGTTGTTGTTGTGGTGTTGTTGGTGGTGATGTGATGTTGGAGTGAGGAGGGGTTGGAAGGGGAGAGGACGGGGGAGGATGGGTTGTTTGGCTGCAAGAAGGATCTTATTGAGAGGATTCTATTGATGGTTCTCAGAATGATTTCAGAAACAACCGAAGAAAAAAAAGACACACATGAACACGCAAAAAAAAAAAAAAAAAAACCACTAAAAAAAAAAGACTGTCTCGCTGCCGAGGGGGGCATGGCAAGACGCGGGACCGTACCTTGGTAGGTATTTTTACCTATTTTCATTTTCTTTTCACTAGCAGCTTGTTTGGCTATCTTGGTGCTCCTGCTTTTCTTTTGCTCCCCTTTTCAGCCAAGTACCGTATAGTTGCGTTACCGGCTTTTGATTCCTGCTCCTTCCTCTATGCCATCAAGCTGCCGTCCATGTATGTCTTTTTGGGTCTAGGCATCAAGTTACACGGTATACGTCAGTTACGAGCTACAATGATAGTTAAAAAGATACGGTACGGTCTTGCAACTTAGTCCCTCGGTTCCGATACAGGAGAGGGGCAGAATTCTTCGACGCATTTGGGCAGAGGGTTGAGTGACCCGGCAACCTGGCAGAGACGGGACGGAAGCGGAGACTGTCTGGACACTCAGTTCAAATTTTGTATACGCCACCACCACGATCCGGTCCTTGAGGTTGCGGCCTTGATAATCCACCAGAGAAGACCACCTACCTGCTATTCAACCTGAAGTTTTCAGTTTCTTAGATTTGACATCATGTTTGATATTAGCGCCAAGTGTCATTACATATACACGACAAGACACTCCCATGACCGATAGCCAGGACTGGAGTCTTTGAGAAAAGAGACTAGAGGTATCGTCAACGGCACTCCAAGCTAGGGCAATCTTGAAACAAGAATCTCACTCGTAGCCTAGGGGCAACTGAATGCTTTTATGTGCAGGACCGGTTGAGTAAGGCAGGCTGTGATGTGTTGGTTGATATTGCAGTTTCAGCTGTTGCAAGGCCGTATACGGTGCCAACCTTTTAGCCGCATGCTACCTCCCAATACTTTCTTTCTCGGAAAAACTCAAAGATACAGGATCTTGTGGAATTTCGTCAGGATTTACTCCTCCAGACGTGGACCACCCATTCTTGAAGGTGCACTCATCTCCAACTTATCAATAGTACCGCAATAGATCGTTGTTGTATCCTTCCCGGATCTCCTACACGCTCTTTTCATTTCTGTGTGCCCGAGTTCTGTTATTTCGCCAGGTGAAATGATAGCCCTTATACTGGCTGTCTATTTCTTCCCTTCTTCTATCAGCATTTCTTCTTATGGCTTTGGACCCTGAGGCATCAGGGTAAACGTCAGGATGCCTAGAGGGAACTCCCGTCCCTGACTAAGCCATTGGTGATAACAACTTACCCAGGTGAAGGCACCTATAAACATGGACGAACCTCTCACGACTGGAATTGACGTTTCCCTCTAGTTAATAAATCCGAAAGGCGACGCGTGGTGCGTGGTGGGAAATAACAGGGGCAATCAGCCTTCTACCCCTACCTACCTACCAGCCGATCTTTAAACGCGCAGTTGATCAACTGAACCATTGCTTACTTGACTCCTTACCTTCCGTGTCCACTAGAGGTATAGTCCGGGTACGCAAGCATTCAGTCAAAGATCTTCTTCATGTTGGGTACGGCCTGCATGCTTTGCGTCGTCTTTCTCTGTCTCCACTTTTACATCTATCTTCAAGGGAGGGATGTGGTGAAACGTCGAGGTTAGATACAAGTATGAGCAAGGTCGGGGCAGAAAATTGAGTTGACCCGACGACCTGGGAGATGAGACGAAAGCAGAGACTGTTCCCGGCACGTCTTAGGCTCATGGTTCTCTGGTTTGGCTGGAATAGCGTTGGGAGCTCGCTTCTGCTTCCTTGGCTCGGGCTTTTTTTGATTAATTATTAGCAGTTGTTGATGTAGTCTTTGGATGTGCTTCTTGGTTTTTGGCTCTGGGCAAGAACATGGACGAAGGGATCTTGGTCTATATAGGAGCTTGTTAGAGTTACGGGAATACTTGAGGATGAGAGAACTAAACGTAGGGCACATTTGTGGAGTGACGGGGACTGGACACTCGCGTCTATATCTAAGACCACTATCCTCTGACGTCCCGGAGACAACGCATGGCTAGAATCAGTCAGGGAAGCTGCGTATGAGTGAATGAAGTGCAATTTCGAAGTCCTAAACATAAAGCCGTACGCAGAGTCCATGTCTTTGAGCCCTTTCCTGGTCACCTCCATCCTTCCAGTATCAGTAGAGGTATGCCAGGCTACAACGATCACGATGGACTTCACACCAAGCTCAAAATTCCCAGTCAGACTCTCACAGACAAGTAGGAAGAGCAGCTGGAGAGGGCTGCCGGGCTGCTTCATTACAAGATGGTCAAAGACCAGTGCGAGGCCAAGTCATGCTACATCTCCCGACGTAGGTGGTATAAAGTATGGTCATTGTCAAAGGGGGCTTTGATGGCTTGGATCTTTGGGCAGCTGTTTTCTGGTTCTTGTATTCAAAGGTTTACCTCTGCATATCATTGCTGGACGCTTTTCGTTACCGCCCCTTTTCTTGTTTTATATGTGTCTTCCTACTTGGACCGGTGGAACTGGTCATAGCTTTCCGTTTCCGCTCCTTCCTGTCAGGACTATTATACACGGCTCGAAGGCTTCGAGTGTACGTCATTCAGCTATGAACGAGGCCGGAGGAGAGAGGTGGGTGATTCGACGGCAGCCTGCTCTCAAAGATGAGACGAGGGCAGATTGTCCCGCCCTGCGGACGTGACTCGGACTGGACACTCGCGTCCGCAATCGCAATCATCCCATCTCGTCTCAACGAAAAGGCTTCTACAGGCAGTGAATTAGTCGTTACGCACAATACGTGTGTCATTTGGTTGAAATTCCCTTTCGTTGACGGCAGAGCTTGGTATCTTTGAGGAAGTATTTCTGGGGCCCTTTTGCTCACCTGCTTCCCTTCCTCCCCCGCCTTTTTTTCTTTGCGTTTGCAACCACAAAAAAGTCATCACGACAAGAAGCTTCTCTTTTTCAAGGTCCATTCACTCTTCCACTGAAGCTTTACTTGATTCGCGAGCGATCTCTTTCTTCGAGCGGCAAGTAAAACGTTTTCCTACCTTGTCTTTGGCCGCCTTGTTTTTCTCGTGGGAGAACCTTGCGAAAAGAAGAACTACCTCACCTTCACTTCAACCAAGAAGGCAAGCAACAACAATGGAGGACAACAGCGACACCTCCCTCCCCATCTCCAAGCTCGTCGTGGCTCGCGCCACAGCTTCAACCATGGGTTCTGGCATCGACCAGCCCAAAAACCTCATCACTCCTCGCGCCGCGCTCACCACCTCCTCAGCAACCTCCCACAAGGCGCGCACCATCGTCACCTCCACCAGCGTCTTCGTCACCATCGAGACAGAGACCATCACTTTCCACCAGGACGGCTCCGTCACTCACTCTTCTTCGCCGGTGCCGACCACCCTCGTCACCACCACCACCACCACCACCACCACCAACACCGCTGCCTCTCCTACGCCCGAGGAGACCACTGGCTCCGCGGCTTCCAACGGCGGCACGCAAGGCCCAAAGTCAGGGGTCATTGCCGGCGCACTGGGCGGCACAATCTTTGGTCTCTTGCTGATTGCCATTCTGGCCTTCTGTCTCTTCCGCCGCCGCCGCCTTGAACGGCAGGCACAATTCTACTCCGCGCCGACCCGCTTCCCCGCCCACCGGGGCACCAATTTTGTCCGTGGCAGCGACGGACGGGTTAACCGTCCCGAGAACATACCGCTCGCGTCTCTCGGGAAGTCCAAGCAAACCAGGGGCGAACAGGACGAGACGGCAGACGGCACGGGTGGGGACGAAAGGGCTCCTGGTCAGATGCGCATCGAAGTCGTGCCGGCAGCTGAGGGGGATAGGGGCCCGAGGTTGAGGACTGTTCGTGCTTCTCCTGCGTCTGCGCCTGCTCCTGCCCCGCATCAAGGGCGAGTGTTGGTGCCCGCGCCCATGAGTCCCTTGTCTTCGCCCGTGCCAGCTTCATACCCGCTCCTCGCTCCGCCGGCCCCTACTCGCCCTCTTCGCAACGTCAGCTCGTCTGTCTACTCCAAGCCGTCGCAGGAGGATGTGGCGTCCAAGTTCTCCGAGGATTCGCATGAGGCTGTCAACAACGGCAACAGCAGCGGCAACACCGTCTGGCCTGCTCCCCTTTTTGCTTCAGCTTCTGCTCAAGCTGCCCCTGCCGCCGCCGCCGGCGCTCCCGGCCCCTCGTCATCAACTACGACTCCCCACCCGGAGTTCCAGGACAGAGGCGGTCCAAGCCAGAAGCCCGCCTATGTCGAACCGCCCTCTCAGAGCCGCTGGTCGCCTAGCACCCCTACCTCGGACGGGAGTGATGAGGGCTTGACTGCTAGGCTTGGCCAGCAAGTTGCCCAAGTTGGCGAGAAGCTGGCTGACAAATGGAAGGAGACGAAGGAGAAGGGTTGGAAGGGTTTGATGCTTGGTGGCAGCGCCGCAGGCTCGAAGGAGGAGAAGAGGCCAAGCAAGGAGGAGAAGGGTAAGGGCAAGGCCGAGAGGGCAGAGATTGTGGTTGATCCGGTTAAAAGGGGGGCTCCGGGCTGGATTTGAAGGCTGACATTGATCAGTTTTCCCAAGAAGCCCTCACTCAGCTGTACGACCTACGGCTGGGTGTTGGCTTCTTGGGGTAACTCGGTGGAATTGAGGGAACAACAAAGGAAGAAACTTATCCAAGCGTTGATTTGTTTTATGCATGGCATGACGCATTGCGTTGGTTGAAGATACCCTTGGACTTTAGAGCGTTGCATGGAAAGGGGCTATTGCTTCCATTCGGTCTTGTTTTTGCGTGTAACGATATATGAGATAGGTACCTGCTAGACTGGCTTGGACTTCGATGTCAACGTCACTATTCGCGTCAATAATTGAAGAAACTTCCGGTCATGATACCTTACTTGTTTCGTTCATTCTTCTCGGACCAGCCCATTCCTCGGTTCGCTTTTCTGGCTGCTATACCTCCACCGTTTCATTTCTCTGTCTCCAGCCAGGAGATGTCTCAGTCTTGTCTTCACAGTCAGTTGGCTGCCTGATTCAATTCCCTTTTAGAATTTAGGCATAGAATAGGTTGGTTCTTGAGGAAGGGGCTTTGCTTTTGCATCATTCATCACATTGTGTGAGCGGAAATCATCCCAGGGAAGTGCTTTCAGGGAATCCAAGCATCACTTGCTGTCCTCTCAAAATGTCCACGGCCACCCAAATTTACCACAGGCACGGGAGTTCAATTAAAGGAGACCGTTTGGGTTACTTGACACTTGCCAGTGACGCCGATAGCTGAAGCAAAAGATGGATCACCAACTTTGGTGGTATTCCGAGGAAGAGTTGGCCTGCCAAAGGCACTCTTCGGTGTCCATCCAGACGTGTGCAAAGAGTCTGCACGCAGCATGCAGATTCAAATGCAACTTCCTCGATGTACATCTGCGACGGACTGGACCATGAACTGCGCTGCAGCAGTGTCCCTCGGCACCTCCCCGCGATGACATGATCAAAAGCAGGACAGCGAAGCCGGAGGACTGGAGGGGAATGTCATGAACAGGTGAGAAGAGGTCAAGGGACTGGTTCATGAAGACGAGTGGTTGTTGGTCAACAACCAGTACATCACAGCTTGAAAAGAACAACATGATGTACAAGAATCCAAAGGCCAAAAAAAAAAAAAAAAAAAAAAAAAAAGAGATTTGCGCAGTCCGGGAGCCCGAAGCCGGGTTGCTCGTTGATCACAGAGGGACGAATGTATTAGCCGCTATACCAACCGCACCTTCTTGTCTTTTGATAGAGTCTCCGAGGGACCAGCTTATGAAGGGTCAGTGATGGTAAGTCTGGAAAGCGCGGGTGGACAGCAGCAGGGAAAGCAGGGCAGATTTGGTACCTGCACGTTGTTGCTGCCTGTTCCGGTTCCGGTGTTGGTGGGGTAGGCTTCCTGTCGCGGAGAAGGAAGGCAGGAAGGAGGAAGGCAGAAACGCAGGGTACGGCCCTTGGCAGTTGGCAACTGGCAACTTGTATTGTGAAGGAACAGTGGTACCTCTTCCCTCCAAACAAACTCAATCTGTGAGAGAGGACCGCGCTCCATTTCCGGTAGCCCATTATATTGGTCAGAGGTACTCGGAAAAGGTGAGGCTGCTACAACGATCCAGGGGTGCACGCAGTTGTCATCGAACTTGGCTGGAGGATTAAATGTTCATCGATTGAAGCTTGTGTTTTGGACTTTTGTCATTTTACTTTCTTTGCTGTCTTTTTTTTTCTTTCCAGGTGGGTTTAAGTGTGTTGCCAGCCAATGCAAAATGCAAGTGATCATTGTGCCGGCTGGCTGCACACATGCAGTGCATGCAGACTGCACCTGCTCCTTTGTCGGTTCACACCTGTTCCAGAGTTCCAGTCCCTAGAGGTATCATTGCAAGCCACTGAAACTTCTTGCGACTTCATTCACCACTCACCCATTCTTCATTCTTCGTCAAGGACAGAACTATCGACAGTTCCCCCTTCACTCCGTTATAGCGCTATCGCAGTTTCCATGACAACACACAACCTTCTTCCCGTCCTCGGACTAGTTTCACCACAGGCAGGACTTCACATCACAGACACGTCAAACGTCTTCTCATCCGCTACATGCAAATCGCTTTCATTGAACATTTTTCTCATCGTTGCTATTCTGAACTGGAGGATTGACTGGCGCTGATTCAACTATCTCGACGTCTCCTGGAATGGTACAACCCGGACTTTTACCATTGATTAATATGCGGCTCATCACCAACCAATCGGCAAACTTGCCCGCAATTTTTCCACGCGAGCCTACAAGACAGATCATGGAGACGGGTGACGACGCACGGCACAGAAATGGCGACTGCCGAATGCTCGGAGCCATGCTGCCGAACAGGCTATCATACCCGATATTGGGGGTCGTATCCATCCCGGCAAAGTGGTTGGCCACCAGCATCGACGACACTCGATCACATATTCTTGATATATGGCAAGGATGGAATCACAACGGAAAATGATTGCAAAAAAATTTGAGGGTCTCTCAAATGAAGCACTCGACTCGTCCCGTCTTGGCGGCTTCTGGGTTGTCTTTTGTTTCCTGAATTGATCATACACAAGAGGACCGCATGTCCACCCTTTGATGTTTTCCAGATTCTTCTGCTGCCTCTCTTCTGGTTGCAAGGTCTCTCTGTAGGTTTCGTTGATTGCAGCATCCTGAGGACTCAAACACCATGCGTCTATCGAATCTTCTCGCCGTGGCTGCGGCCCTTCTGGGTGCCGGTAGGTTGATTTCCCTTCGTGTGCCCGCCATGACGAGAGCTAACCCTAGTAACAGATGTCCATGCCGAAGTCGCAAAGCTCCCCCTCCCCAAGAGCTGTAGCGGAGTCCCAAACATGCGCTACCAATACACCATCAACCCCGCCTGGACCGTCATGAAGATCGCCGGCAGCTTGAAGCAAGTACGAACCATCATATGGGACACCGAGGGCAACATGCTCGTCCAGCAAAACACCAGGGGCGTTTCCGTGCACACCTTTGGCGCCGACGGCTGCATCAACAGCACAAACATGCTCATCTCCGGTGGTGGTCTCAACCACGGCTTGGACTTGACTCCCGATGGCAAGACCCTCTACGCATCCTCGGAGACGACTCTCTACAGCTGGGCGTACGATCCCCTCACACGCAAGGTCAGCAACCAAAAGACCGTTGTCAAGGATATGTCGACGGGTGTGCACTCGTCTCGTACCGTCAAAGTTGTTCCCGGTCAGCCGAACCTGGTCCTGTTGCAAGTCGGCAGCAATTCCAACCTCGACATGGCTGCGCAGCAACCGTCGACTGGCCGTGCTTGCATCAAGGTCTTTGACGTCAACAAGGTTCCCTCGGGTGGGTACAACTATAACACGCAGGGCGAGATGTTTGGGTTTGGCTTGAGGAACGAGATTGGCTTTGTCCCTGACCCCAATGGTGTTTTCTGGGGTGTTGAGAATAGTGGTGATGTTAGCAGCCTCTTGGTTTCCCATTCTATCAACTTCTTCTAACCCACCATGAATCAGGACTTCACTCGCACCGAGAACGGTCAGCGCAGGGACATCCACACCAACAACCCAGCCGAGAAGCTCAACAACCGTAAGCCACCCTCCCCCCCTTATTCCTACCTAACCACGACTAACCCCCTTCCCAACCAGTCGGCGACCCCCGCACCGTCCGCAACGCCTGGTACGGCTACCCAACCTGCTTTTCTGTCTGGGACCCCTCCTCCTTTACCAACAGTCTCAAAACCGGGCAACACTTCGTCATCGCCCCGAACACCTCCTACAACGACGCCACCTGCAACGGCAAGGCCATTGCCCCCCGACTGACCTTCCAAGCTCACTCCGCTCCAATTTGGAATACCTTTGACGACGAGGCCAAGAACATGTACATCACCTTCCACGGATCGTGGAACCGTCAACCCCCCACGGGCTTCAAGGTCGTGCAGGTGCCCTTTACGAGGTTGGCAGATGGGAGTTATGATCCGGTTGCTCCGGCAGATTCGAGGACGGGGTATATGGACATTTTTTCGGCAACGAATCCGGGGAGTTGTACGGCGAACGGGTTGACTATGAGTAACTGCTTCAGGCTGACGGCTGCTAGCTGGGATCCGGCGGGACGGGGACTGTTTGTGGGAAGTGATAATAGTGCTGAGGGGGAGATTTATATCTTGAGTCCAAAGTCGTAAGTTGGGGAACTGTGATTGAACAGGATACAAGCCTTTGGGGATTTGATATCTATGGCGCAAGGTACAGCATGGTACGTCAGGTGAATTGCTTTTCTTCATTTTGTCAACCTTTGAGACCTGAAAACTACCCGCATTCACTCCGTGTACACCAACCAGCCTCTGACTACCTCTTACCTACACGTGCACTAACTCCTATAGTGGGCTTTACACGTTTGTGCTCTTGCGGGAGGAAATAGTGCAAAAAGGTTTTCAAGGTAGAGGTATGCATGTTCTACCTACCTCTAAATACCATATGGGAGTCTGATTGTGCGTGTCCTCTTGAACGTAACCGCTCCGCATATAGGTGTGTTTGCGTTGCATATGGTTTGTGAACTTCCCGTCGTCACATATGCTGGGGCATCACAAGAGAAGGGACCATCATCTAGAGCAGTGGCTCATGGGTATAAGAGGAGAAACAACATCACGACTTCGTAGCGTAGCTTTATTAGCGGGTAGTTTCCCGGTGTGAGGTCGCTGGCGGTGGAGAGATTCTAGCACAAGTGCTGCGATCGACATGCTCTGATGCTCATCTCCAGATGCACCATTATCAACAAGGGAAGGTAACAAACCCAACCCTTTTATACCATTCCATCCCCCTTAACAACATTCCCACAGTTTTGTACGAGTGATAGAGATATTTTATGTGCCCATGTCACTCGTTAACAGTGTTATGTTCCGCATATCCATAAATAGCTCCACGTCGTGATTGATTCACGGATTGAGATCGTTGCGGCTCTTGTGTGTCCCTGGCGCGGCTCCTGTCACCCTGTGTAGCAACCCTCCTGTCCGTTTCCGCCTGTACCCGTCTGTACAGCCACACACAATGTAGGTATGTGCAGGCTTCCTCGGTAATGGGTATGCAGTGCAGGTCGGACATCTCATTTTAGGAGCGACGAGAGCCGGGACGCGGGAAAAGGACCGAGCATATTGGAGGCGGGAAGTCGCAAAATGGCGAGGTGTGGATTGATGGTATGGGTGGATATTTGAGGCAAGTTGCGTCAGTTGTGAAGAAGAGACTGGAGGAGAAGTGAAGTGATTCTTGTCCTGGAAAATGGGTTCCTTGCCCCGTGATTCCCGCTTTTGTCCCAAATAACAGCGCGAGCTTTCAAGTTGAAGAAAGAACGATCGGGTGCGTGGGGGAAGAGCGGAGGTATTCGAACCGAACAGCTTGTGCAGTTACTCGTGCTTGACGCATCAACTCCGACACTTTTCGATCATGCCAAATCATGGAAACAAGTCCTTTTCCCCCAGCTTTCACCTTGCGTGGAAATTGCAAAACAAAAACACTTTTTCATTCGTCTCTCAACATCCCTATGGTAGACCCCATATCATCACATCCCAAGAATCCTTCCTTGCATTGATCCAAAATTCCAAAACACCAGTAGCTCCCTCCCTTCCTATCACCTCCCATTTTACGGATCGGGATCATCTACCATGCCAAAAATCTTTCTATAATCGGACCAAGGTAGGAAATCCTTGATATCCTCGAAAAACTCCCTCAGGTTCTTTTCCTGAATCTCCTCCGCCAGATCAGGTGTCTCGTCGTTACTCGTAGCCTTAGAGGCTTGCTTCCCTTCCTGCTCCCTCTCCTTCACTGGTTCCGGCAGCGGTAAAGTCGGTTTTTCTCCGGACTTTCTCCACGAGCTACTATGAAGCCTGTCATAGTCGCGCCCTTTTGTGAGTTTTTCGTAGGACTCCTCCTCGATAGCCCAGACGTCCTCCGGGTCTTCGGACTTATACGGCTCAAGGATTTCGTAGCAAACGGGATATGAAGTTTGGCTGTTGACATAAGAGTATGCTTTGTCCATGAGTCGTTTATCTTTGAGCTTGAGGAGGTTTCCGGTATCCGGATGCTTGGGTGTTGGATCGATGGGCCAGTATGGCTCCCTGTTGCGGCGATGGGAGGGCAAGGGGAACTTGGCTAGAATGTTTCGGTTGTTGAAGGATGTCATCTGCATGCCAGGGGCGAGTACCTTGCGATTAGCACCAGATTAAGATGGACCAACGTTCTGGAAGCACCAAAGGATAACTCCAGGGAGTGTAGATGTAGGGGTGATCAAAGCTAAAAAGTAAATACCTTACCAGAAAAACACTAACTCTGCCTTTCTCGTCCATACCCCTGGTCACAATGAGGACCGGGTGACCAAAGGCATCGCTGTCGAGACCAGACGGGATTTTCTCAGGGGATTCTTCGAGAATTTTCTCCCTTTTGGGCAGCCACCTAATCTGTGCAGCAAGGTTGGTGAGGCTGCAACCGAGCATTCTGGAGGTATTTGGCCTTTTGATGAAATGTTCCTCTTGAGGGGCGCTTTCATATGAAACTTTGTCCTAGACTGTCTGCGGCCAGTGCCAACAGCTTAACCTACAGCCCGTGGACTAAATGTTTTTAGTAAAAGATTGTTAACAAGGAGGTAGTCCAACATCTTATACAGCTCTCATGCCGTCTTGACTCTGGAGCCGCACGGCCCAGTAGTACCAAAGGGTTTCGGATGATTCGATCCATCGTACCTTAATGTTTGTCCATCACAGAACGAAAGGTTTCGTTGTCCATGTTCCCTACCAGCTCTGCGTCAACGAGCGAACCACACATGTTGTGGTCCCGCCTGTTGTGGAACATAGCGTCTCTTCAGCCTCTCTCTGTCTACACTCGGCATAGCCACAGACTGTATATGTCACAATGTGTAGGTCCGGCTGGGGAAAATGGGAGATGAAATGGGATATTCGGGGGTCGGGACTTGTCAGCCTTGTAACATAACCGGCATCCATGCGTTCCTGGAAAATGAAGAGGAACTACTTCGAGTTGAAGTCTGTCTGGTATATCGTGAATTTTCGTAGTACGCTGCTTGGAATAGGGCGTTTTGCAATAAGGGTAGCCACCGGATGGACGGAAGGAAGGAGGTTAGAACAAGGTTGATGCCAAGACAGGGCGTCGCCGCCAAGACTTCAGGCTGTGGGCGACATGGAACCCTCCAGAGCGCTAACCGGGGGTGGAGTGGGGCCATTCGCTTACACGGCTGACGGGCATGCGACGCCACGATCGCGGGTATCTGGTCCTAGAGTTCTACTATAGCTCGTGAAAAGGGAAGGCTGCCTGCCACTGACCCAGATAGGCGTAAGGCCAGTAGTAGGGATATACATACGGGTATAGAGTTGGATATCCGTACTGGTAGAGGTATACTTGTGCTTGTGGGTACCAGCAGCCGTCCAGAAGGTATGGTTCTTCCCCCAAAGGCCGAGATCTAGAAGGGCAAAGTGAGGGGTGGTTAGCAGCGTCTATATGGTTCGTGGTAATTGCAGTTGAAAGAAAAGAGGTACTCACCGGATGGAATTTCACGTAGATTCTTTCGGAACTGAGCTTATCCTGCCGAGTCTAAGGGCGTGTTCATTCCGGCAGTAGTCTCTATATACCTACACGAGCAAGATTTCTGGACTGCAAAGGTAGGGTGTTAGTGCTTTTCGCGGGCGGTCTCCACGGAAAATCCTACTCGCACTACCCAAATCATAGCGCACAGACCGAAAACCCCCTTTTCGCCCGCAAAAGAATTGTTAGCACTATCTGAATTTCGCGCTTTTTCTATTAGTACATTCCCGTACAGCCGTTTTTCGCGCTTTCGTGGACTTTTCGTGTAAATACTCCTAAGGGGGGGTCCCGGGGGGCGCAGCCCCCTGGCATTAACTTCTAAAGTATACGAATTATTGAGAAAGAAACGGCCAGCCTAAAATCCAAATATATAGAGGTACTGGCGGGCTACATCCCAGAATCCAGCTCTGTACGTAACAATTTAGAATCCAGCTCTACACGCAACAACCCAGAATCCAGCCTTGCACCCATACGGAAGGGCGCGGCGTGCCGCCCCGAACACTAGTACAGTAATGGAAGCATTTTTTTGGTGGTAGAAAAGCTTTAAGTTAGGGTTAGAAGAGATTCCCTTACTGCACTACTGCCAGAACGAACACGGCCTTAAGAATAACCACCGGGTGGCAGAATCCCTCGCGAGCCTACGAGAAGAACTGGCGCCCCTGCATTATTTGCCTTAATGCGGGCCGGCGCTACCTCACGGCGCCTAGTCGCGCCGCCTGCTCCCGCTATTACAATGACGGCAAGCGGTGCGACCGGGCGTCCCCCCTCACCCTGCGTGCAGTCGCCCTTAAGGAGTCGGTGACTGACGAGAAGGAGAAGTCCCTGGCTCGAGAACAAATGAACCGATGCATGGCAATTCAGCGCAACGCTGCTGAACTGCATAAGCACGGTTTCTGCGACCGGTATGTCACTCCTGCCTCTTTTTCCTTTCTCCAGCCTGGGCGAGAAGTGTAATAGCATGTAACTGTGATGTTCGGTCCGCAGACAGGCAGGTATTATCATACTTGAGGCGTTCAAGGATTACGTTCTTATCAGGAAGCGATGCAATTTCGCCCCTTTGGGGCTTCCAAGTCTCCGGCCTATTCAGGCAAGGACAAGTGTCAGCAAGTAAAACTCCATAAGGTACACCTACGACTACCTACCTGTTGTTGATAAGCTAGGTAAAAAAAAAATAAAAAAAATGGAAGGAGCATCGGGGCACTGACGCATCACACTCTGGTTCCTCCCTCATCTTGGCTGAAATAGAATTGGCCATGGTACTTGGTTCTTTTATGCAGAGTACCTACCCAATACCTGGCATTCTCACTAATCGTTGCGAGCTGCCACAAAACAGCAGTAGTGTCATTGAATGAACAAGTTCGGACCTTCTCGATCAAGTAGGTAGAGGTAGTCACTTCCTCGTTATTTATCTCGGGATTAAACTCTGTCCTAGGTTCGTCTAGGGTACGGCCACGCTATAGGAAAGTTTCAAATGGAAAATGGTCATAGTCTGAATTGGAATTGTTGTTACTCATTGTGAGGGATCGCTATACGTCTACGTGTAATAATATCGCTATTGTTTTAATGTGGAATGTAGTATGTTGGGTTGGGTTGCAGGATGCGACGTGGTAGTTGTAGGATATAGAAGCGAGAGTATGGGGTAGTAGGGTGTAAAATTGCAAACGGAGGTAGAGGTGGGAGGGGTACGGCTAGCGGGGCTGACAGCTGGAAAGTGGAGAAAAATAGAGTCTGGCCTTCATACTGCCGTATTCTTTCCCTCTCTGCGAATGCTGATCGAGGATATGATCAGATTGAATTCGGTTGTGAGGTTTAATCCGGTATTCGTATCGTTCCAAATCGGATGAATGATATCAGAGGGGCAGGATTTGTGAAGCGGATGATCAAAACACCAAAAGATACTCAGCAGCATGTCGAGAGTAGGATAAGTTTCACAAAGCCGGGTGGGTAACTGGAGCTATTCAGGATGGGCCTAAGATGGGCCAGGGAGGCACATGTTCGAACCCCGAGGGTCGGTATTCGCAATAATCAAAGATTGGTCAAACTCTATCACATAGAGGTATTCATGTTCCCAATCGATGCAGTGAAATGTACGGCCGCCTTGCTCTACAGTTTGTGTTCTTGATATGCCACTGGATCTCCTGCCGTTGTGGCCTCTATCTTGACGACACCCAACTTTTCCATATTGCTTGCTAGTACCTCTACTGCAAAGTTTCTGTCGCCAGCCTCATCAGAAACATTGTCACGATACCACTGCCGTGGATAGCAGAAGTTGGGCGTCTCATAACCCAGCAAAAGCAAGGAAACTTCTCGATCAGGTCTGGAGTTACTATAACCGCGTGAGCTGCGCTTGCTGCAAGTTCCTGCTGTTGAATCATGGACAGCACCTCTAATTACTTGAATCAGCTCCGGGCGTGTGCAACACGTAAACCATGGTAATAAACAAGAAAGCACCGGACATTATCGTAAGTGTTACGATCCAATAAGGGTTGATTATGTAAATAAGCTAGACAGACCAATCAGGGTCGCGCCGGGAGCCGGCGCCCGGCTACGGCGCAGGGCGCCGAGCGGCCGGGAATGGCCTCACCGGCGCAACGGCTCATACTGAAGAAGGCAGTATAAAGGAAGGCCCCCCAGGCCTTCCGAATACTGATTCTTCAGCAAGCAATAGCTTCTACAATCGATCAGTACCTTTCGGCTACTCTTACCGTTGTTATTCCCAGCGATATACTCTTGTGCGTGTAACGGTTCGTCACAGTAAGGCCCGTAGTTAGATTCATGTTTCTACTTGCCTTACAGCCCGGTGGTAAAGGGTGGTAGGCTATGAAGTACAAATACCGCGGTTGCACGTTTTACTGGTGGTGTTTTTCGTGAGTGTAAAAAAACTCAACCCTTCCTCTTTTCTCTTCAAATAGGTAACTCTCACGTCACGCCTTTCTCGCCCATCGACTCAAGCAGAACTGTTCCTAAATCAGGCCAGAAGACACAATTGTCAACATGAAAGTTCCACATGCCAACCAGAATGGTAAGGCCGCCGGCCACGATCCGACACCAACATGGGAGGGAACTATGCTCTTAGCATCAACATGTTCGAAGATCCCAATACCAAGAACCCCGGTAAAAGAGGGTGTGTTAGAAACAACGTCGACACAGTCAACATGGAGAAAAAAGAGGACTTTGGGGTCAGAAGTGGTGAGTACAAACACAACGATTCGGAGAGGATCGCGAAGGTTCTCCGAACTGTTGAGAAGACGAACGCAAAGGAACCTATGAACATGAACATTGTGCTAACGCCGAGATAGACTCCGACGAGCATGAGGGTACCTCTAAAGATGCAAGTGGGAAGTGTGGAGAGTCAACAAAGAAGGTCGTGGATGAGATCTTGGGGTTTGATGCGGGCCTCTGGAACGAACTCTCCGATCTCTCGAATCTCCACAGGCACTAGCACTCACGTTATGTATGCTCCTTTGTCCGCAAAGGGCTTCCTCCTTCCAAGGTATAGGGTGTTCCCCTCGACTTTCGCCTGCAAAGCGACTCACTAGGAGAGCTGTAGCTCGGGTTCCATCTTACAGCCCCTATGCACTCGTCAAATACACCTCCTGTGTTCTTTTCATCGTTCGCAGAGTCCTCGGCGTCTCGGATGACATCTGGCTCCTTGAACCTGGGCAGAAGCTCAACTGTCAGTGACGAAATTCCTGGGCTTGGGGCACGGGGAAGTGGGGGAAACTGGAGCACTGGGACAACTGCGTGCCGTTGAACCTGCCCCTCTCGAAGCTTGTTCACACGATGACGCGCCACCTGCAGCGGCGGACAAGTAGGCTTGTTGTTGTTGGCTCGATCGGGCGATGACGACGGATTTTGGAGGATCAAGTGCGAGTTGCGAGGAGCCTGAGGCTGGCTTGCAGGTGTTTTCACTTGGCAAAGAGTGTGAAGAAGGCACCGTAACATTTCTGTTTCACGATGCCAAACGACCTCAGAGAGACTGAGCCTCGTGGGACGCGCTCTTTTTTGCATTACTGCGAGAATCGGACACTAGCAGACACAGACGACTCTTTGTAAGGATACTTTCAGGGCAACTGGTGTTTTGCAACGGGCAAGAGCAAGGGAACATGTCGAACCCGCCGCAAGGAATGTTGCGCAAGTTCAAAATCAGCTTGTCAGCCCCACTGCACCTTCCCAACGCTCTTCGAAATGGCTTCGAGCACTCGTTCACACCTGCCACGACCGTCAACTCGAAAGAACAAGCGGCAGGATTGCAGGAACAAGCGGCCATCCCTCAGCTCTGGTTTCAATTTCTCTACTCGACATTCACTTACATCAGCAGCAGGTGGACGGCCATCAAAAACGAAAAGCACAATGAATGCGTCTTTGTCGCCCAGGTCGTCCTCACTTTTTCCCCCCAGGATCGATTTCGGTCTTTAGCCTTCCTAACTGTGTTCCCTTCTTGCCACCGGCGAACTTTTCAGCATACCTACCTTCCATGAGGACGAGATGAGGAGGGCAAGGAGCGAGGCAGGCGACGTCAAAAGAAGTGACATTCTGCCTCAAGATGAAAATTTGACATCATGATGTTCCGCGTCATCAAGAGAAGTGCCATAACCGATGACAGATGGACGTGGGAGCATGACCTAGCCGCCTGGACAAGCAGGCATCGCTGCTAACGGAACCCACATCCACTCAGTGGTTTATCAGCAGCAGACGCGGGCTGGGTGACTTAGGCAGGCAGCAGGAAGGATTCGCAAGCGAGTTGCTCGAGCGCTTTGGCGCCGGCTGGATCGTTGCAAGGAGCACTAGGGGTAAGGAAGAGGGCTCATTGTGCGCGTTGTGAGGACCAGGTCGATCAACAGGCTTGATACCATATGAAGTGCTTAGTGGCGTGCATCCGGAGGGATGACATGAAAGGTGGACAACCGAACTTGTATGTCAAGAGACACTATCAAGAGAAAATGAAATGCCTGGGTCCAAACCGTAAGCACATCATCAAAGGATAAACTGACATTTGCGAATAAGGGTTGGGCCTCCCCTACCACACAGCGCATATAAATTACCAGATGTAGAAATGCCCGAACAAGCTGACTAGATGACTCGGATTCCATTCTGATCATCAGACCAAATTACCTAACCTTCGTGCTAGGAACAACTGCTAAGTTTTGGGGTACCTTTCTTACTTTCTTGCGATTAGCCGGGCGGCACAATACCTAACTACTCCGCCAAAGTGACTAGCGGTTGTTGTTGCTGTTGATGTTGATGTTGATGATGATGATGTTGTTGTTGTTGTTGTTGTTGTTGTTGTTGTTGTTGTTGTTGTTGTTGTTGTTGTTGTTGTTGTTGTTGTTGTTGTTGTTGTTGTTGTTGTTGTTGTTGTAAATAAGTGTTGGGGCAGGCGTGGAAAGTGGGGTTTGCAGGGTGAGCTCTGCTTGAAGCTTTCCACTTTAGTGTATTTAGATAAGCTGATAAGGCACTAGGAGTCCCGCAATGACATCCGATAGTCGGATGCCTGCCAGCGTTACTGTTGGGGTTGTTGTGCTTGACCGGTTGAGCCGGTGGGATTAGGTGAGCAATCCAACATCTTCATCGGGCAATATTATGTCCGTTTGGAAGCATCTCATGCGCAGTGTCAGAGTGTGATATAGAATCCTTACAAATCCTTTTCGAAATTCGTTCCTACCCAGAGATTACAAATTCCAACGGCAGACTCAACAACAAAGTCGTCGTCGCCGTCATTTACACTACAATGGCGAGAATGGGTGGATTAATAATGTGGGCCTCGGTTCGCTTCTCTCCACCTTACCCAGGTGGCTCTCCTCGTGCTTAAGACTCCGCTGTTCCCGCCGTCCATCTTGCCGTTCTGGTGTCATCACCTCACTGCACTCCATCGATCTCACCACCAACCTCGTCCCATACACCGAACGATCTCATCACATCTATAACGAACAGTTCCTTCACATCAACAGCCAAAATGACTTTCAACCTCGTTGCCGTCGTTTACCCCAAGGAGGGCAAGCTTGAGCGCGTAAGTTGGTTCCTGAAATGCTGAACTACCCCGCTGAACGGAGCTTCCCCGCTGTCGACTGGACCTGAGGTGCAACGATATCGTCAACTTTTTTTCTTTGTGGTCCTTCACTGCTCCTCCCGTTGAGGGGAGCAGTTGCGACTGCCAAACGAATTCTAAACCTCGAGAAGGGCCGACTGAGAAACTCTACCTCTCTACCGCCAACATCCGGTCCATCCGACCTCACTGTGTCTGCAACTTACCATCAACAATCGGCCCTTGTCTCCCACGTGTTTCAACATTCCACACCTAGCATGATTTAAAATCATACCGCGTCTTTCCCGGAATCATGGCGACATCCCCTGACAAATACCCGTCTCACGTACTAACACCCTTCTTCCCCCTTCACAGGTCAAGGAACTCGGCAAGGAGATTTCCGCCTGGGTTGAGGCCAACGAGCCCAACACGCTCCAGTACCACTGGTCTACCTCGAAGGAGGACGACAAGCCTGTTATCGTCATTCAGGAGATGTAAGTTGTTGTGATCTCTCTCTCTCTTTCATCTCATGTCTGGTAGTAGGTAACCGTGGCTAACATATACACTACACTGTCCGCAGCTACGCCGACGAGGCTGCCTTCAACGCTCACAAGGAGAGCCCCAAGTTCGGTTGGTTGATCGAGACTGCCACGAAGGAGGATCTCTTCGCTGCTCCTATCAAGATTCTGTTCCTTGAGCCGTTCACTGGTTTTTCTGGCCGTAAGTAGAGGTCGGGCTTGCCGGTTTGCGATACGACGAATAATTGAAATAATTTTTGCACATCTGCTTGATTCTGGCTGTTACTGGTAAGATGTGCTTGTGAATTCGGAAGTCTGATGATTTTCTCGGTGACTTCCAGTGTTTCTTTGGCCAGTTTAAGCTTGCACTTCCATGACGAGAGGTGGGCGGTGGGATGGGCTTCCCGAGTGACAACCAACTTTACGACATCCGTCAAAGGTGTCCAGCGAGTTCTGTGTTAAGAGAAGCCTGGGTAGAAAAGGTGAGGTGCGGGAAATAGACTGTTTAGGACGGATGTATGCCCGTGACTTCATGGTATTGAGGCGCGCAGATGGGATAAGAAGGTCGTAGTTCTTGCCAGTACCGGTTGGGAGAAGCATTGGGTGTGGTCAACTTTTTCACGCAAGGAAGTAGAAAGAGCTGCTACATTGAGAAGGATGAACAAAAAAGCATACCGAAGGAGAACCAATGGGGGAAGCCGGGAAAAGTCCCTGCCGGCTAAGAGGATCAGCCTTGTAACCGAGGTGCCGGTCACTGAGCTTGCGGCTTGAGCCTTGTGGCAGAGCATCAACACATGGCAACCACAAGATTATCAGCGGCCGGGATCACGATGCATTTAAAGATACTGCCGGCTCAACAACGCGATCCCCGGATGCTTGTTCACGTGGCTCATTCAGTTCGTTGCTTCGGCAGCCCGGACGGGAACTTGGGGAAGAATGCGGGGCAAGCGGGTCTGAATCCGGGGAGTCCCGGGTCTTGGCGATAACGGTTCCGTTCCGTGAGCTGGATGAACAAACAACACGTCCCGGGAAGAGACGGGAGAATGGAACCCGAAGAAACCCAATCCAGGGGTAAATTCCACTCGAAAGGTTCCCCTGGGAACCCTGGGGTTCTCGAGGCCCTCGACAGGGTCTCGCGATGGGGAGATGCAATCCAGAGTGGCTCCCAATGAGGTCATCGGTCGAGTCATTGTTCACTTCAACAGCCTGTGTCAGTGATGTCCAGTCGGTCAAGACCGCCCTGATGATTGACTGTCTATCACAGAAAGTAGCGTGTCCGAGTACCGCGATTGTCAATACCTTCCTTTACCTTCTACCTACGTGTCTCGCTTGCTGTGATGCCACCGTAATGGTATTGGTGGCCAAGGGTGACAACGAGGGTCCGGCTTTATATCATATACGCCAAAGCCGTAGTCATCCTGGAAACCATCATCACGATGAGTGTCGCCGATATTGAGCGGTGAAGTGGTGTCATGTCGGACCGAGGTCATTCATCGCGATCCTGAACCCCGGATTCCGATCTTTTCCATTTCACGTTCTCCAACAATCCAAACCACGACAAATTCGGCGAAGTCTTGACACATTTGACGGGCACGAGACCTGAGGGCAAGGGTTTTGTCTGTTGTCTAACCTTCCGAAAGGAGGCTGCATGGCATATGGTCTCAGTTCTGGAGATGGATATGGAATAGTAGCCAGTGAAAGAACGGAAAGGGGAGGTGTGAAGTCTTTCGACGGGTTGAATTGGCGGTCTTTTGATTCGTTGTCAGGATAAAGTTGAAGCTCCAAACACGCCGCCAACCAGACAGCGAGCAACATCGTTAATATGATCCAATGTCGAAAACACGGGATGACGACACTGGCTTGAAGAAAGTCTGCCATTGTGAGGTGACGACGGCCAAGACTGCCCTTGATGAAATGAATGTGACGGTCCGGCAATGCTCAAGCCGTGACAGTGGAGCCACCTGGCTGCGGATGGCAAGAGGGACCCCCGGACAAGAACCCCGACCAAAGCAGTGACGCGACACTGACAAGCAAGCGTCGGGAAGACGGCCGCTTGGCGCAGTCCACTCTTTGGAGGGTCTGGGCTGCGGGTTGCTGCAAGTGGTCTGTCATTTTGGAGACAGCTCCCTGCTCAATGCTCGTCGTCAACCCCCCACCTTGGACCACTAGTGAGGGGCACAACGCAGCTCTTGCTCTGTTTGGGTGTCCTGGCCAATGAAAACGCGGCTAGAGCGTCGGTGCTATGCTCGGCCGCCCCGCTGGCTGACCTACGATCCCTCCACTTCCTTCCTCGTCCTTGAACCACTGACGGGATTGTTGGGCGTGACTGTCGACCCTCTTGCAGTTTCTCTCTTCTCCGTCTCCTCTTCCCAAATCTCCTGAGCAGGACATCAACCCTTCGTCATACAAATTCCCGCAGTCTGCAAAACCGTGAGTGCTTCCAGTTCTGTCCCATCTTCCTCTTTTCATCCTCTTCATTCTTGTTTGTGATACCCTCAACCTGCTATCCTGAAAAGCGTTCTTATACTTATTTCCACCTTTTCACATTTAACAGCTACCCCGCGTCACGCAACTTCATAACCAAAAACAACAGTCAAAATGGGTATCTTCGATGCAAGTTTCCTCCTCCTCTCAACCTGGCAATTGGTAGCTTCGAAGCGCAGCTAATCTAACGGTGATACCCTCAACAGGAGCTCAACCTTCCCGCTGGCGTCCTCTACGGTACGATTTGGCCAAGCAGATGCGCTGCCCGATACCGGAACATAAACAAAATCTGACCTTTTTCTTACCTCTAGGTGATGACGTCCTGAAGCTTTTCCAGTACGCTCGCGAGAAGCAGTTTGCTATCCCTGCCTGCAACGTCACCTCCTCTAGCACTGCCGTCGCTGCTCTCGAGGCTGCTCGCGACCAGAAGGCTCCCATCATCCTCCAGACTTCCCAGGGTGGTGCTGCCTTCTTCGCCGGCAAGGGCATCAAGGACTCTCCTGAGAAGCGCGAGGCTTCCGTCGCCGGTGCCATTGCCGCCGCTCACTACATCCGCTCCATTGCCCCCATCTACGGCATTCCCGTTGTCCGTAAGTAGCTTAGGTTGTCATTCTCGGTTCAACTTGCCTTCAAGATGCTGACATGGTCCTAGTCCACACCGACCACTGCGCTAAGAAGCTTCTCCCTTGGCTCGATGGCATGCTCGAGGAGGACGAGAAGTTCTTCAAGGCCAACGGCGTGCCCCTCTTCTCTTCTCACATGATCGATCTCTCTGGTAAGTTTGCCCCCGACAAATGCGACCGCTCCACCAATGCCCCAGCTTACTGATGTGCAATAACAGAGGAGAGCGTTGAGGAGAACATCTCCACCTGCGTCAAGTACCTTAAGCGCATGGCGCCCATGAAGCAGTGGCTCGAGATGGAGATCGGTATCACCGTACGTCAATGTCATGATGCGCTTGCTCCAAAAGGAAACAAAACTAACACTTGCAAACAGGGTGGCGAGGAGGACGGTGTTGACAACTCCGAGGTTGACAACGCTTCTCTCTACACTCAGCCCGAGGACATCTGGCAGATCGAGGAGGCTTTCCGCCCCATTTCCCCCTACTTCTCCATTGCCGCTGGCTTCGGGTAAGGCTGAACTCTACCCCTTGCTTGCGGTTCATTAGAACTAACGAGATGACAGCAACGTTCACGGTGTCTACGCTCCTGGCAACGTCAAGCTCCACCCCGAGCTCCTTGGCAAGCACCAGGCTTACGTCTCCGAGAAGCTCGGTGGCAAGGACAAGAAGCCTGTCTTCTTCGTCTTCCACGGTGGTTCCGGCTCCTCCAAGGAGGAGTACCGTGAGGCCATCTCTAACGGTGTCGTCAAGGTCAACGTCGACACTGATCTCCAGTGGAGCTACCTCGTCGGTATCCGTGACTACATCCTCAACAACATCGACTACCTCAGGAGCCAAGTCGGCAACCCCGAGGGCCCCAACAAGCCCAACAAGAAGAAGTACGACCCCCGTGTCTGGATCCGCGAGGGTGAGAAGACCATGAAGGCCCGCGTCGAGGAGGCCCTCAAGGACTTCAACGCCGCCGGCACCGTCTAAATGGGAATTGAGGAATAATGAAAATGGAATGATTTGATGAGTACACTGCTTGATTCCGTTCGTGTTTGTAGTGGTTTCCGGCCATTGAGACTGGTTCCATGGCGTGTCGGCTTTGCCGATACTTGGACGTATACTAGCAGGTTGGTTCACGGTGTTCCGGGGGGGTTCAAGTTACCGGCTATGATGATGTTATGCTAGCCGGTTGGGTTTGGGGTGATACCGAAAAGTAGTACATACCCAATTGAAAAGTTGCCTTTGAGTTTCTCCCAAGTCCGTACACGGACCCTTTAGTCATGCTTGGTGGACATGGATCTTGTGCTTTTATGTGGTGGAGTATATAAGGCCCAAGCCAGACTCTTCGTTCCAACAATGAGGCGCTTCCCTGCGCACACAGTCTTTGACAGGTTATGAGCAACCTATTTGGCTCAGTGGTTCCGATGTGAGCGGCGAACACCTCTCGGGGGTAGGAGGTTATGAGTTCGACCCTCAGTTAAGGGCCATTTGATGCACACGCATTTCTTTGTCTGCGATGCTTTGTTCCAGACACCACTTTTCACATGCTGTCCGACGACAGTTCTGCCCGCTTCCGCTGCCGATGCAGTTTTTCAATCCATCGCTTTAACTACCTGCGTCAATAACGCTGAGAACACCTCTCCTTCACCCCATTACCGGACGCGGTATGGGGTTCTTTTTTTTGCTTTTCTTTCTGCTTTGCTTTTTGTTGTTTTGGTTTTAAGGTCAACTTCAATGTTTGGTGGGCATGCCTCTATGCACGAGACAGCTGATGCAATGCAATGCAATGCAGCAATTTCATGATACTTGTGTTGTACCAGGATGCAAAGATGAGTGGTACACGAGATTTGCTGCGTCTGGGCAGCTTTCCGCACTCAGAGAGTACTCTTTGTCGATTTGATTATTAGGATGTTGCGGGTCTTGATGGGTTCTGGCAACGGTACTAATGGTGTTTTTGGTTACTAGGTGATGGGATGGAAGACGAGAATCGGGCAATTTTGAACAGTTGTATACGTCAAAGGCCAAACAGACGATTCGAGCACTGATGAGTATCGGTCTTCAATTAGATGATATCGATTGTTTTTCCTCCATTGGCTTGCGGTGGATGACGAGTACTTGAACCTAGCTTCGGTCCTGTGCCTCGGCGATTGCATTTTTGGGGTTGATGGCGGTTGTGATTTACCTAGGTAGGTGTTTGAGTCGTTGGTTGGAACAAGAAGGTTGTTTTCACGAGAACTACGAGTTTTGAAACAGCACTCGTCGTTACAGCTAGGCTGGGTTATGGTTTTTTTTTTGGGGGGGGGGGGCCGATGAGGGTGGAAATTACTAGTTAAATGACATTTGTGAATGGCTTCGCTGATCACTCGGAACATTCCAGCAAATGATTACAAGCATTAAAACAAGTAAAATGTATATCCAGACCATATATATAACACCCATGAACGAATGGGACTGCACGAAGCACAAATATTAACAAGAACGGAAACAAAAAACAAAATCAACATTCCGAAACTCCAATCCATGCAAACCTCCCTAACCATCCCTCTCGCTCACTTAAAACACACCTAGAATCGATCACTCGGAAGGCTTCAAGGTGCTCACCATCCCGCCCGCCTGATCCTTCAACTTCTCCCAGCTAGAAGCAAACTCCGAGTCCGTCTCCTTTCTCCCCGCCGCGCCGCCCCTCTCCTTGACCTCCCGCTCGAGCATCTCCAGCTGGCGCTTCAGCACATCGATCTGGAACAAGCGGAAGGCATCCTCGATGCGCTTCCGAGACTCGGGGTCGCGAGTGATGGTGCGAGTCGCTGCTGCCGACCCGGTCAGCAAGCCGGTCTCGCCGCCGAGCATCGAGCACCCGATGCCAAAGACGGTGTAAGTGGCGATGTCACCCCAGCGCGTAGGGCGGAGGAGGGGTTCTAGATCTGGGACTGGTTCTATTTCGCGTAGGTAGGTATGTTAGCAACGAACTGAGAAAAGTTCTGAGAGAGAAGGGGAGAAAAAGGGACGTACCCCTCCGACCGTTGGCAAATACTACTTCCACCGGCTTGGCCATCATTTTGAACGCGTTGAACAGTTGCTGGCGGTTCTGCCGGATGCGCCAGGCCAAGGCGATGCCGAGACCGAGGCCCAGAAAAGTGCCGATCGTGGTGTGCGTCGAGACTTTGGAGGCGGCTTTGCGCAGGCGTTCGCGGTCTTCGGGCTGGAGATCATGTTGCAGGTGGTGCTCGGCGAGGTCGGCGAGGTCTTTGTTGGGGTGGCCGCGGAAGAGGGCGAACATTGTGGCTGAATTGGTATACTGATGATGGTGATGATGGTGATGGTTATTTTGGTTGGTGATGATGTCTTTCTTGGCAGAAGATTTGGATGGAAGAGATTGGGACTGTAGAGGTAGGAAACTCAAATTGTTGTGTTTATAAACACTACCAAAGCTATCGTACAAAAAGAAACCTCAAAAGCTGGTTGTCAAAAAGTCGTCATAGTGAATCGAATCGCGTACCCAGTTTCCAATATCTTCTCATGCCTTCTGTTGCGGAGTTGGTGCTTGCTGCTGCTGTGGTCCAAAGGTGGTCGATGTGGTGTTTTGCTAATGATGATGTCGATGTCCCGCGAGGGCCGGCGGAGATGCGATGATGTCACTGCACTGTATTGGCCTCGACGACAGTGAGGTCTCGAAATTGTTAGAGCGTACGGTGGCCCAAGTGCGTGCTAGGCCGTTTATAAATTGGTCCGAGCTTCCACTTGCAGCCAAGTGTAGGGCAAATTAGAAACACTCTACGCACAAACGAACGCACACTCCTCCCTGCCAAATTAATTACTATACATCTATACCCTTATACCTTTATATTATACAATTAATTCTAATTATTCTGTATCGCTCCCTACTATTACTCTACTACCATCTTCTTTACGTTTCTCCAAGGTTCTTATTATAAATATTAAACGTCTATATTACTTATATAAATTACCGTAAAATACCGATACAATAGACCTTTCAAAGCCGAAACCTACTTACCCCCGCTCCAACCTAGGATAATACTATAATACCTAAGTAGTAGACCGCATACTTACTTAAAAAACTTAAAGATTGTAATACCGGTATTGTGCTCAAAATGATTATTAAGAATTTAATACGTTAAGACTATTTAAATATAATCGGAGGTAATTAATTCTAATTAATATTAATAGGAAATTGTATATTTATAGAACGCTTATAAAATTATAAAGAATAAGGCCTAGGAAGTTATTATTCCGAAGATTGATATATTGGGAAATACGATTGCTATTATTACCTATCTTTTTAAATTGGGAAAAGATATAGAATGGATAGAGTATATTAAATATATTTATACTATAACTTTATAATTAACTAAATAATATATTATTCCGCCCTAAAAAGTATTAGGCGGTATATATATATATTATTACTATACGAATTTAAATAGTAAATACTCATTTAAAGTAAAAGCAATTGAATAAAAGAAGAAGAAGGAATTAGAGGAGGATATTTAAGAACTATAGACGGACAAAAATAAGGACGAAATAATAGAGGAAATAACCCTCAATAAACTAAAAGAAATAAAAGAAGTCTTAGTAAAAAATAAAAAGAGGCGCAAGGTGGCCAAATCTTCGCCTTTAAAGCAGAAGAAAGATATATAAAAATATTAAACGTACACTTTATAAAGATATTCACCTTATATTATACGTCTTATAAATTTATATTTATTATATTTTATTACGTTTATATTAATATAAGGTGCCTTATATATATATATATAATTTAAAGTTTGGTAAATTATAGAAGTATAGAAAAAATTCTTAAAAGTATATAGAAATAACTATTAATTACAATTAACTAATATTAATTGAGAATATATTTTATTATATACTTATAACTATACTTTATAAATTACATTTAGACATTAGGAGAACTTTGAATAATTTATATATATATAAAACAGTAGATATATATTTCTATTAATATTTAAAAATAAATAATAATATTTAAAGTAATTAGTAGTAAATATAATATTAATATTTCTTCAAAATATTTTTAAATAGACTATTTTTTTAAATCGTTGGAAAAGTCTTTATATATTAGTAATTTAAATTAAAATAAATATAATTTAATTAAAATAGAACGTATAATAAATAAAATAGTATAATAATTTTATATATTTTTTATTTAATATTACTAGCCCTACTTGATATTTGCAATCTTATAGACCTTTAAATAGTATTAAAGGTTTAATTTCTAAATATTAATAATTTTATTTCTAAAATTATTTAGAATTTAAATACTAGAGAGTATATATAATTTAAATATTAATACTACCTTAAAGAGGAAAAAGTAATCAAAATTCTATTATATTTTATAAGACTTAGTTCTTTATTCTTATAAAGTTTCTAGAAAATTAGTTTAGTTAATAGTGTATAAAGACTCTTCCAACGGTTTAAAAATATATTCTCTTTTTAAAAAGGATTATATTTTTAAAATTCTTATATTTTTATAATAGAATAAATATTATTAAATCAAATTTTATTGAACAAAAGTAGTATTAAAATCCAATTTATAATTCCTATTCTTATATAGAGTATTAAAGATAAATCTATTTTGAGTAAGGGTTTATATATTAATGGTATAATTTGTTAATTTAATTATATTCAATTCCAATATTCAAATTAATTGAATTTAATAATAAAGTATAAAAAAACTACATTTATAGTAAAGTATAATATTAATATTAAATTTATATAATTTGAAGAAAAGACTTATAATAAAGATTACAAAATTTATTCTTTAATAAGTATTTACTTATTATAATTTTAGATTAAATAAAATGTATAGTAAAATAAAACTAGTAAATAGTATATTATTTCTAGTTAGTAAAGGTAATTTTTTTTAAATATTTTCTATAAAGTAGTACTCTTTATAATATAATAAATAATCTACCTTTATAATATTAATTATTTATTTGTACTTTATTATAGATAGGAAAAATAAAATAGAATTAAATTATATTTAAATTTTAAAACCTCTTCCTATTAATATAGAATTTATACCTTTAAAATTAATAAAGATATTAATATATATAAAATCTTTATATAATAAATTATATATTCTTTATTATTTTATTATAATTTTAATAGTCTTCTTTAATTATAAAATAAATTCAATCTTGAAGAAATAAAGTATTAGAAAGGGAAAACCTTTAATAGAAAAGTAATATATATTTTTCAATATTGTATTTTATAAGATTCAAATAAAAATACTTATATTTAATCTTTTATTATAATAATAATAAATAATTCTAATTATTTAATTATATTTACTTTTAATATTCTTAATATATTTTTTACTTTTCTTCAAAGAAAAATTATTAAGAAAGTAATTATAATATAAAATAGAGAATTATAAAAGACTGTATTTTAAAAAAGAAAATTTTAAAATAAAATAAAATAAAGAAAAAGTCTAATTGTACGGTCAATATTATCTATCTATATAGTAGTTTACTTTTGCTTTTCTAAGTATAACTTGGTGGAATTTTAATATTAGAAACTGAAAATAGTAGTAAATTACTTATTAAATTTTAAGGAATCTTTAGAGGTAGTACCAAATCTATAAGCCCTAGGCATTATAGAAATCTTATTTAAAAAGACTTTTTTATATTAAATTTTTAGAATTATTTATTAAAAATAGCTTTCTTTTTACGAGTTTCTTCGAACTATAAAAGAAATCTAGTAGCTAGAGAAGGGGTAAAAAATAGAGAGAAAAACTAAGAGAAATATAATATATTACTTAGCTTTGTACTTTATTCTTTCAAATTTAAATAAAGATAATAAAAGTCACTTTTTTATAACCGTACGGATAAATAATATTAACCGTATAGTTAGACTTTCTTAGAATAAAATATTTAAATAAAATATTATAAGTATAATAATAATAATAAATAATAATAATAATATAATAACTTACTTTAATTCTTTATATAATCTTTTTTATAAATAATTATATATATGTAATCAAGATTGCTAATACTAAACTATCTTATAGAAAATTCCAAATTATATTAGAAGTAATATATAATATAATAACGATTAACTAACTTCGTTTGCAATTAATTAAGTCCAATTACAAACCAAATAAGAATATTATATATAATTATATAAAAATAAAATAGAACTAATATTGAACGTTTAATATCACTTCTCCATTTTTGCAACTCCTATCTTTATACAACCAAATAATACTAGCACACATCTTTACATACTAAGTTCTTATAATAGGCTGCAAAGCATTCGACTTTACACTATATATAAATTTTCTTTAATAAGTTTACGCTAATAAGCTTATACGTAAGTAAATACTCAAGGTATTAGAATAGATATATAGATTCAAAATCAATCGGACAATATTAATAATCTTTTTTAAAATACTCGATACAACCCCTATACGCAGGCTGTAAATAATTGTAAGCAATAAACTTTGTAATGAAATAAAAGCTATTCTAAATAAATAACTTTTAATAAATATAAAATTCTATACTATTTTCGATAACTGTAGTTTTATAATATTTTAAAATAGTATAATAATATTATATTAAAAGTTTCGAATCTTAAAAAAGTATATACCCAAACTACTAGAAGTAAAGTTTATCAAAATATATATTATTTTTAAAGGTATTAAAAAGTCTAACGAAATATACTTTATTTAAAAATTTAATAAACGGGAATTACAATTCCACTTCGCAAAATTCTTCGAGCTTTACCTACCTAAGGAACCACTATTTATATACTTTAAAAATTTCTTCCCTAAAGTAATTTAAAAAAAAGGTAAAAACTTCTCCTTTAACACCGAAGGGGCTAGACTATACTTAGTCCAAACTATATATAGTATATTAATACTTACTAAAAGCTTCGGTAATTTAGTCTTAAAATATATATTGGAATAGATGTATATTTACGCTATATCTCTTAATTTTATACAAATATTTCTACTATAATAGTATAATTTATATTTTATTAATAGATAAAAGTAATTAAAAATTATAAATTTATTCTAATACTAATATAAAGTAATTATAATAATAAAATTAATATAGTAGTAAATAGGCTTTACTATATTGTATTCGGGAATAAAATGTAACGGATCTTAAAGTTTTATAGAATAAGCCCGGAATTAGTCGTTATTTTCGAAGAAGGATAAATAGAGAAGGATATTCCTATTTAATATAAAGTATTCTAAAAGGATTAAATACTACTAATATACAGATTGAAATA